AGTCTCTATACGCCCTTTTCCTATAACCATTCCGAGGAATTTGATTTCTTCGGCCTCAAAAATGCATTTGCTAATCTTGAGGCATAATCCTTCTTTCTCGCAGATCTTCAGGAACTCGCGAACCCAAGTCTGAAGTTCTTCCTTGGTCTTGGCTTGAATGGTGACATCATCCATGTACCTGACTTGCTTCCCACACTGGGACTCAAAGGTTCAGTCCATATATCTCTGAAAAGATGGTGGTGAGTTGCATTGCCCAAAGAACATTACCATGGGTTCAAAGAGACCCCTGGGCATAATAAATGCTCCTTTCCACTCATCACCTTCTTTTACATGGAGGTTTGTAAACCCCCATTGAATGTCGAACTTTGCATAATATTTTGATTTGACCAATTCATTGAACAAGGCTTGCACGTTCAGTAATGGATGTGCATCTTGGATGGTGAAAGAATTCAAGTAGCGATAGTCTTGGATTAATCGCTTCTTTCCATCCTTCTTTGCCACAAAGAACACTGGGGCAGCCTGGGGCAAAGTTGATGGTCGGATCTTTTTGCATTTCAGGTTTTCATCCAAGAATTCATCTAAAACTTTTAGTTCATCCAGAGACATGGGATATACCACAGCCTTTTTAGGCTTGAAATCATCCTTTAAATGGATCTCATGGTCCAACCCAGGTTGGTGGACCAGTAGCGGGATATCGGTTTCCGAGAAAACTTTAGCAAATTCTTGGTACTCCTTTGGAAGTTTAACTTCCTCCTTAGTCGAGGATAAGGCAGCCTCGAGTTCTGTAGACAAGGTTGTCTTGTTAATACTTACCAGTTCCTTAACAGAACCACCGTCATTAAACTTGACTGCATATCCTTCATATAATGGGACCTGTCCTTTGATGTACAAGTCAGTTTCCCTAGTTGGCACATACCCATCATCCCAGCAAGTAATCCATCCCATCTCCCAGTTCATTCTTGGCTTGAACTGTCGCAGGAAAGGCATCCCTAAGAGGATGTGTTCCTTTCCAATCAGGGGACCGACATAACACTTGACGCGAACCATGCAGTTCTTGATGATGATCCAGATGGAAACCTTTCTTGTCACCCACTCAACATCCTTTCCAGTGAAGGAAGTGGTCTTGAACTTGGTTTTGACACGATACATTGGTATCGCAAGTTTTTGTATGATTTGCTCCGAGATGAGTGATACTTTGGCACCTGAATTGACACAGGCCATTACTCCTGCTGCAAAGTCTGGTAGAAAAACCCTTCCCAATGGTGATCCAACACGCATAGTTGATTCATCATTTATGGAAGTACAGTTGGTGGACAAAACGGAAGTGGGACCTCCCTTAGGAGTGTCGGTGGTCCCTTCTGAAAATCCACCCCATGAGCCTTCATTTCTTCGGCCATAGCCAGACGGTCTCCCATCCACACTGTTTTGGTCCTGTCCTCAGATAGGACAATCCGGACCCCAGGGAGATTCTTGCTCTTGGTGGATTTGCAGTCACGTTTGTAGTGACCCTTTGCTCTGCATTTGAAGCACATAATTTCAGAGTTTGAATGTCTAACATTCCATTTGCATTTGTTGATGTCCATTGCATCAGGATCTTGGGAACCTCTGCAGTAATGAATGAACTTTCTTTCATACTGAGATTCCTTCCCTTCTAGGATATGTTTGGTGGTGATTGTGGTTCTTGCTTCCCCCGCGCACTGTATCCACTCAATGACAGTGGAAGGGGTGTGCCCTGAATTAAGAACCCAATCACGATATTCTTTATTCAATCCTTTTCCGAAGAAGATCCCTGCTTCATGTGATTCTTCCTTGAGTTGAGCCTTGTTGACAAGCCCAGTAAACTTGGCAATGTACCCTTCGAGTTCTCGTTTTCCTTGAGTGATATCAGAAAGGCGTAGGATAGCGAGAGCGGTTTGGTCACCAGATTCGAAAGTAGCTTTGAGACGTTCCATGAACCTCTGGAAGGTGTCCATGTAATAGATTGTTCCGTCGAGAAGCTTGTTTTCGTTTTGATAGTTTTCAGCGAACGAAACAGCTGCACCTTTCGTCATATAAGTGAGTGCGAACAAGATCTTGAGGGACTCCATGTTATAGACATGCTTGTTCAGGTTCAAGTATCCTTCGACCTGTGTGATCCAGGTCTGAAGCCCATTGTGGCTTCTGTTGTATTCTCCGGGACGCCTGACATTAAATTCCCTTCCTCCATTGGGTGGGCAGCAATCGTACAAGTCGTCAGGATCCGTTGGGGCCTTACCCTTACTGGACCCACCAATGGGGCCCTCTGGGGGAATTACCTTTCTGAAGTTCCTGGCATACCAAGCTCATAATGCTGAGTCCATAGGTGTTCCTGTTGGGAATGGTGTCACACACCAAAGGTGTTTGGTGAGGTGGACATGGATGTAGCTGATGAATGGAGGTGAAGACCATAGCCCTCATGCGAAGAAGGACAGCCAGCAATGTCAGCAGTCATCCCTCGCACAAGAACAAGTTGTCAATGCCAAAGAAAAAGGAGGAGGCAAGTTAAGTGCCAATAAAATTCTTAAGTGCCTGTGTACAGCATTCCAGTTTTCGATGTATCTCCACCAATTCTGCAGACACCGAAACCATTCCAACACTCGCTTGTAGTGCTCAGCCATGCGATCCTACCTTCCAAGATTGGAAAGGATTTGCACACTCCACATGTTTCTACAGCACTCCCTCCAAAAGACGCTCATTTCGCTAATTCTTCTGATATGGCTGCCTCCACATCAGTCGTTTTGCTTGTCCCCTTTGCTAGAGACCATGGCTACATATATCTACCAGGAGTTCCTACCAGCTTCCATCCTGAAGTGTCCTGGTACATCCCACCCTCATCTGCCCCCTCTCAGCCCATCCAGCTTGGACAGCGTGTTCTTTTTGTCAGTATGACCTCCAGGAGGATGTTCTTTGGTTGCCTCAGGTCTGTCATTCACTTGGAAAGGTCTTATGTGGTCGTTTCAGTCTCTCCAGTCCAAGAAGCATATGGATCCTTCCTCCCTGCCCCCTGCAACATCTTCATACCAGTCTTTTCCATCATTCTTCCAAAATTGCGACAGCTACAGTATAATCTACTGTTCTCCACTCTCCCTGATCACATCCATGACAAGTATGATGCACATCTTGCCTCCTTGTTGCAAGATACAGCAGAAGACACTCCCCCTTCATCCTCTCTTCCAACAGAGCCTCATTCATGAAGTTTTTATTTGCTTCACTGAGAGGATGGTTTGGGGGGGAAAGTTGCGATCCCCTATGCTCCTGTCACCCCACAGACCCCCAAAGCTTGACCCCTGTTGACATCTGACTCACCCTGTCTGCTTTTGGATGTACTATATCAGCATCAGATCAGTGCTGCCTCTCTGTCATCCCACTTTGGCCTAGAAGTGACCTCTTTGAGATGTGACATGCACGGCCTCCCCCTAATGTGATTCCAGTGCACTTTCCCAGTTCCTGACATTGCTTGACTCATACTGTGACATTCTGACTGTCTTTGACTCACCTATTGCCAATACTTACCAATCTTTTGACTTTGCTTACTGATTCTTTGCTTTTTGGCTTACTTATCCTTACCAATGCTTACCAATGCTTTCCAAGACGATTACCCATCGCTTACATTCCTTACTCATCAGTTACCAATCACTTACCAAGTGTTTGCACCTTGTTTTCCATAGGCAACGCCCCTGTACTGTATATAAGTCACTGTACTTAGGTAGCAAAAAAAAGGAAGAAGACATCAGAGAGCCCCTCTTGCTTGCAATTTATCATCTCTCAGTAAATCATTCATCAGCTTTGATAGTTGAGACTTTATTAAGGGTCTAGCTATCATCTACTTCGCTTATCATCATCTATCATAAAGGGATGAAGCTCAGTTGCAAGCTATCAAAAAACTGCAGATACAGGACAAAGTACGTAGGATTATATACCCCTAAGTATGAGTACCTTGCCAGTCGCAACAGATGTGTTGCGATGCGTATCCACAGTAATCAACAATCCCATCAATGAAATAAATAAGAGTCATACGGTGTCAAAGATGGGGGTAGGGAGGCAACAAAGGCTATACTGGCTGGTGCAATCAATGCGCAGCGAGGAGCCTGACACTGGAGCTATAGTACAACATCAAAGCAATAAAGATGAGTCAATGGAACAAGAAATGAACAAGTTGTCCATCAGAGAGGGTGGTGGAATACTGGATCACAGTGGCAATGCGGTCTCGACAGGTATTGGAAATACCTTGACATTGGGAGATCTGAACATTCCCTGGAGCATTCGAGCCCCTAGGATGGCAACGGTTATGAGGGACACGACAAGGCATGTGACACATGTGACCGTGAGAAGCCGAAAAAGGAATGACCCCTGATGGAAGCATAACACTATGCTCCCACCTTTTCACTCAGATTGGATGTCCCCACTTCACATAATGTACCTACTTTGTACCATATCATATGACCAAATGAGGTTGACAATCAGCCATGTTGCACAGACCAGCTAAAGTTGAGCCCACCTCTGAGTTGTCATCATGTCACACAGCATAGCCATGATCATTGGATGTCACCACACTGCACAGTGTGGCTGAGGGGTTACTACTATATACATCTTGCCTGGATAATCCTGGCATGGATTCTGGCAAGTTGGGAAAGGTCTGGTACTAACCTGGTCTGGGCTCACTGGCATGAGCCCAGCATGTGTCAGCGATTGCCAGTGGGTCAGAAGGCATTCCACTGTAATTCTATTGGGTTGGTATGAATGCCAGGCTAATTCCAGTAAGCTGGGACAAATGCCAGGATAATGCCAATAAGCCAGCAAACATACCAGTCTTATGCTAGTGGGCCAGCACAGATGCTAAGGTGGTGATGGTCAGTTGGCATGGATGCTGAGCTAATTCCAGTTGGCTGGTATGGATGACAGCCACCACACTATTTCCAGTGGGTTGGAAGGCATACCAATGTACATCCATTGGGCTGGTATGAGTTATGGCCACTTCTAGTATGCCAGGACACATACTGGCCTTATGCAGGTGGGCTGTGATGGGTGCCTGGATTATGGCAGGTAGTTGGAATATATGGCTAGCCAGCTTTCATGCTGGTATTAGTAAGCTGGGACCCATACTGGTATAGTGCAAATATGCCAGAATAGAGGATAAGCTGGTGGTGGTTTGTGGGCATGGATGCTCATCTAATTCCAGGTGGGCCAGATGGATCACAGCCTCCAGGATATTTCCAGTGGTTTGGAAAGCACACTAGTGGGATTCTATTGGGCCAGTATGACTTCCTGACATTTCCAGTTAGCTGGGTCAGATCCCATGTTATTGCCAGTGAGCTGGGATATCTACTGGGCTGAATCTAGGGGACTGGCAGGAGGCCAAGGCCAGTGACAGTTGGTTGGCATCAATTCCTAACTAACTCCAGTTGGCCAGGATGGATCACAAACTCCAGGCTATTTACAGTGGTTCAGAAGGCATTCCAGTGGGATGGTATTGGGCCAGTATATGTTCTGGCCAAATCCAGTCAGCTGGGTTAAATTCCCAGTTGATGACCATGACCTGGGACACCTACTGGCCACAATATAGTGGGCCAGCACAGGTCCAGGGCTGGTGGCAGTTGTTTGGCATCAATTCTGAACCAACTCCAGTTGGCCAGGATGGATGACACCCTCTGGGCTATTTACAGTGGTTCAGAAGGCACTCCAGTGGGATTCTATTGGGCTGGTATATGTTCTGGCCAAGTCCAGTCAGCCAGGCCAAATTCCCAGTTGATGACCATAACCTGGGACACATACTGGCCATGATGGGGGACTGGGACAGGTGCCCAGCCTATGGTAGTTGATTGGCATGGATGCCCAGTGAAGGCTGCTTAATGTTACCAGTGTAGATGATGGGCTAGTCTTTTGGCATCCCCTGGCAAATGGGTGAGCCATACAAATAGTGTCCCATATATATTGGCTCAGCTGGGAAGCTATTGTCTATGGGGCTTATATATCAGTGGCCTGTGTAATAAGGCTCAGCTGGACCTGCAGTGTTCCATTTGGAATGATAGGAGCATATTTCAGTGTGCTGTGTGCATCAGCCTCAGCCCAAATAGGAGTGCCCATGTACTATGGAGGGCTTGTAGTCCATTGTACTGTGTCCTTGGGGAGGGCCCAGATATTATGATCCTGTAGGACAGGCTGGACAAATACTCCAGTGTTTCATGGTGTACAGGAGGCCCACAATACAGTGTCCTGTCTGTCTTGAATCAGCCTGTTGTCACACACCAAAGGTGTTTGGCGAGGTGGACATGGATACAGCTGATGAATGGAGATGAAGACCATAGCCCTCATGTGAAGAAGGACAACCAGAAATGTCAACAGTCATCCCTTGCACAAGAATGAGTCATCAGTGCCAAAGAAAAAGAAAGGGAGTGAGTTAAGCACTGGTTAAAATTCTTAAGCACCTGTGTATGGCATTCCAGTTTTTGACATATCTCTGCTGTCTCTGCAGATACCAAGACCATTCCCACACTTGCTTGTAGTGCTCAGCCATGTGATCCTACCTTCCAAAATTGGAAAGGATTTGCACACTGCACACATTTCTACAGCACTCCCTCAAAAAGATGCTCATTTCACTAATTCTTCTGATATGGCCACCTCCATGTCAATCATTTTGCTTGTCCCCTTTGCTAGGGACCATGGCTACATATATCTACCAGGAGTTCCTACCAGCTTCTGTCCTGAAGCATCCTGGTACATCCCATCCTTGTCTGTGCCCTCTCAGCCCATCCAGCTTGGACAGCATGTTCTTTTTGTCAGTATGACCTCTAGGATGTTCTTTGGTTGCCTCAGGTCTGTCATTCACTTGGAAAGGTCTTATGTGGTTGTTTCAGTCTCTCCAGTCCAAGAAGCATATGGATCCTTCCTCCCTGCTCCCTGCAATGTCTTTGTACCAGTCTCATATATAAATCACTGTACTTAGATAGCAAAAAAGAGGAAGAAGATGTCAGAGAGCCCCTCTTTCTCACATTTTTATCATCACTCAGTAAATCCTCCATCAGCTTCAATAGTTGAGACTTTATTAAGGGTCTAGCTATTGTCTACTTTGCTTATTATCATCTATCATCAATCTACTTCACTCTAAGTCCTCCCTGAGCTCAGTGCAGCTCAGAGCATCAAATTAAGTTGTCATCCATCCTTCTGTAGGCTGACAGCAGTCTACCTTATTGCATTCTCTCACATTCCTGCTCCTTCTTCATCAGGAGCACCCCCAACCCTCAGCACTCATCTTTGAGTGTTGTAGCTTGAAAAAACCCACCCAAATCAAAGGTTCTACCATCTAGGTACCACATAGGCACACCACCACTTGCTCTTTTTGTCTTTTGTGTTGGTTTTGGTTGGTTTTCACCACTGAACTGCACTTTGACTCACACCATGTATTATGATCACCAATCCATGTGATCTGGCACATATGCCATGGTCTCATGCACAACAAGCAAGCAAATCTCCCAGTGTGCCGTCTGACTGGATTTGGCTTGAGTTGAAGTGTTCCACCAATTATGGGCCAGCCATAGTTGATATTTGGGGGAGGTATATGGAAAATAACTTGGCTCAGGATGGCATATAATATCTATAGAACTACCTTTACATGGATGCCCTATTGGATAAGTGTAGGTTATATGGAATGTCCCACCAGACCTGCAGGCATCAACCAAGTCTGGACATTCTGAACTCTCATCCAATCCCCACAGGGTATCCCTATCCAATTGTGTATGTTGTCCCTCATGTAGTAGGCAAAGCAACATTGGTTCCCACCCACAGAACTAACCCCATGTCAAAGAAGCCTGCTAGAAAATGCAACTACAGTGCTGGGGTTGTAAAGGAACTGAAGGCCAAGCATGGGGATATCCAATACACAATCTTCATAATTGCCAACCATGACCAGCATGTCATACCAATTGGACTGTGAGTGTGGGTCCAAGTGAAAGGGTGTGGTCTGGTTAGAGATTATGGAGACATTAGTAAAAACTGATGGCCAGTGCTGCAAGGCATCATGCATATCTTGGTTATGCTGACTCAACCATGTGTCCAATGACTGCATGGCTTGCCTTCCAGTGTCATACAGGCCTGGGTGCATAATTGAAAGTGCACTGGAGAGGATGGCAGCCAAGGGGTAAGACCACTGGGACCATTCACAACTGGCATCCATCTGTAGGTCAGTGGAAACTGATGGGGAAAAGTTCATGGTCTGGATGCCACTTGAGAGACATACCCCTGAGGTAATATAACCATACCATATGCCCCTGTTGGTGCCTGGCTGGGGAGAACTCCAGGCACCCTGGTGACCATGAAGTGTGATTGAAATATTCAGCATTTTTCTGCCAGGAGTCACCTGTCATACTCTTGGACATTGCATGGTGAAGGGGGTCCAGAGTGGCAAGCATGTGTGTCTGCAGGGATGCCTGAATAATATAGAGTGTAAAGGAAATGTTTGAACTGACTTGCAAATCATTGGTGATGGCACTGGGAAGGTACCACAATGCAATGGTATTGCTGGTACCAAGGATTACCATAGGTTCATCCACAAAGCCAGTGAGACTTGATGGATGCACTGCCAGGTGGCCTGCCTCCTGGGTTTCATCAACCCCCAATTCCATAGCTGAAAGGTGCTCAGAAAGCCAGGTCAGATCAATGCCACTTTGCTCTGCAATACAATTTACATTTGACTTTACATTCAGCCAGGACATCAGCTTACTTCTATTATTGTATGCTGCATGCATGCTGGCCACTATCTGATTCATGGCAACAATGCCATGTGTTGGAATGTAGAGTGGAGGATCTGGTTTGGGGGCATTCAGTCCTGGGAAGGTTTGACTGGAGAATTCCAGTGCATATAGTGTGTAATATCCCAGGTGGCACTGTGATTTATTGCCATTAAGAATGGAAGACCATATAGTGAGCATGGTGTTGACAATGGGTTATCTGGTAGCTGTAGTGTGTAGTATGGAACTGTGGCTATGTATGCTGGTGTTTTCTGGGCCATAGTGAAGCTGCCATGGTTACATGGCATTGGTAAATGACCATTCCAGCCTTCAAAAACAGGTGCCACCATGGTGGCATAGTACCTCTGGCTTCCACATATTATTCCAGCATGGTATGGGTACCAAGATAGAGGCAATAGATGGCAAGTTCTGCTATGGCTCCAGTGCTAGCTACACTTCCTACCACACTGGTTCCATTTCATGGTGTTTGTGTTCCTTTATACACCATGCCAAAGCATTAGATGATGGACTGGGGCCTTTCAACCTAATTTCATACTCCACAGCAATTGAGAAAACATGATGCAGCCTTTTCTAGTACAGATCCAGCAGTGCCAGTAATGCACAGATACAATGTTCTGCTACAGGTCTGGCACTAGCTACACTTCCTACCACACTGGTCATATTTCAGCATGTAGACCTTTCATTATACACTGTCCACAAGCATTGGATGATAGCCTGGGGCCTTTCCAACTAATTGCCTATTCCACAGCCATTTAGAAAATGCAATGCTGCCTTTCCCAGTACTGGTCCAGTGGTGCCAGTAATGCATAGATACACTACAGTATCAACACTGGTCTTGTTCAGATTGATATCCAGCCACTTGGCCCATGATAACTGCTGTGCCGGGATAGGCCACTTGCTATTCTGGCCTCCTGGGATGTGATTATTGATGATCTCTTATCTTGCAGTCATCACATGTGTCAGCCATATTGCTATGTAATAACATTCGCACCTGATCCAACTCTACTCTGAATCACCATGGATGTCAGGACCACTAATCTATCCTACCTCTCCATGATAATCCAATACATTGGTGTCCAATTTAGATGGTTCACATATGCTTTGCAGCAGGCCAACAACCCAAGCAATTGACTGCCAGATGACTGGTATTGGCAGGTTCAGGTGGAAACAGTGAGTTTGTCAAAATGGATGCTGGTTTGCTGTGTCATGCACTTTTCCACAGCATATATTGAAGCAGGCCCTGGCTACCTGCAACTCATATGGGACAATCATGAAGGTCCCATGTGTTGCCAATGAACTGCTCTGGTGGATGGCCATACAAAATATGGGAGAGACTGCCCTGCTGGCACACATCATGGAGTTGAATGTGCTGCAGGTCAAAAGAGGAGAGGTGAGACATATGATCCACACCAGTCCTATGCCACATACCTGGTGGACAAGGGACCCTACCCATCTGGATGGGTATGATTGTCAGTCATTGGAGGAAGTTTTGCAGGAGGCCAAGGAATTCTTTGTTGGGGTTGAGGTGTGCAGTGATCATTTTTCGATCATTCCATTGAATCCATCTGTGCCATAGGAAGGAAAAGACAGTCTCCCACTGCTGTGTGACATGGACCAAATGCCATCAGACAGCATTGGCCAGTTGATTGAAAGCTGTGACAAGATGATCCATCAGGAGGAGGAGATTTGCCAGCTCCATGGTGTGATGGAATTCTGCAGTGAACGGCTCACCCTTTTTGACAGGCTTGGACAAGTACAGGACCAGCTTGAGGACTTCCAAGTCAATTCAGTTACCTGGCTGGGAGCCACCAATAAGTAGGATGCTGTCCTCATTACACATCTCATTAGAATCTTGATATGTAATTTCCCCAGTTTCATACTATCTGGAGATATATGCACATTACTCTTCCAATTCATATCTTGAAGTACATCCTAGTGTTCTGGCTAAATCCCAATACATCTGGGACTGCCTAGCCATATAACATGTGAAGCTGGTATTGCCCACTGCCAATACCTTCATATGCTGGCCACTCCAGAATTTCTCCTTGTGTAAGAAGAATTTCTGTGTCCACCCAGTCTCCAGCGTGAATAACTCTAGCTCTTCTTCCCAGCAATCCCATAGCACTTTTGTACACAGCCAGTTGACTTGATACACTGTGATAATTCAGTCAGTATTTCACACAAGCCCAATTGATCTGCCTACATTCCAACATCCTGTCATTCATGGCAGAATCCTGGGGAAGGTCCACAGTCCAAAACCAGGCCAGAGTGTAATCATGATGACCTCTTGCATTTGGGTCTGCAATTGTGGCACTCACAGTCAGGTCTGCCCTATTCAATTCTTGGTATTTGTCAAGAATGTCCTCCCCAGCCCCCAGTGCAATGAGTTGCTTTTGGCACTGGCGATAGATGGTGGCATGCTGCTGAACCATTGCCTCTGCATTGGATATCTGCCCCCATGCCTGGGTTGTCATTTTGTAGTTCCCTCCTTTCCAGACATCTGTATAAAATATCATGGCCTTGTCCATGAGGGCCAGATGCAATTCATGCAATGCATCATTTGCCTGGCCCTGTCTCAGATGTATTTCCTGTTCCACAAGACTGATGAGGCCAATGTCATGGAAATACTGTACTCTGATATATGATGGCAGTGGAACATCACTGACCTCCTGGTGACCAGGAATGACCAGGGAGGAATGGATCATCAGCTTTGTTGTTACTGTCCCTGTTGAATGTGGCTATACTTCTGGGCCTTTGCCTGGGGTTAACTTGCCAGTCATTTCTGATGAACTGTGCTGCTCCATGTACTAGTGCATCAATCTGTGATTGCAACCAGTCTTGCCAGTGCAAAATCAACAACCAGTCTGCCTCTGTTGCCCTGGTGTCCATCTGTCATGTATCCATAGCAAGCACTATTTGAGCCTGCTCAACCTTTAATGCATGTGCAATCCAAGTAGCTGAACCACATGAGCTGCTGAATGAACAGTTGTTATGGATTAGGTCAATCTCAATGGCTTTCATGGTGGGTGCTACCATGATGTATGTAAGTTATGGGACAGATGATACAGTTGGCCCCCTTACCCTTCTCCAGCTGGACTTCATATATGTCCATGGCCTGCAGAGTATTCCACCAGCATGACTGCACCACAAGTTCTTGTTCCACCCATAACTGACACAAGCCATCCAGTACCTTGCTATCCAACTCATTGAATTTATCTTGGATTGTTGCTAATGACTGCTTGGCAACCTTGAACTTCCATTTCAATGCTGATGCTATGTGCAAGTAATCAAGTGATGGTCAACCAGGTACTGTGATGACATATGCATCCATATCATTTTGAGGAAGTTACTATCATTCATTTGGAAGTCCAGCAACTCCTGACAGTGTGCTGTTGCCATTCCCTGGGCTGATGGTGAGATTATGTTGAGAGAAGACCAGAGGGTCTCCATGATTTCACTGTCCACCTGGCCAGCACCCAGAATAAAGTTTGGAGCATATCTGGCAAAGCACTCTGTCTGATGGCCATGGACATGCCATAGTCCAATGCTGGGCTGAATCTGTAATCTGGAAGGCAGAGAGAGATATCTATTTTCCTCAAGCCAGTGGGCCAAGTTCTTGCTATACTGACAATTGATGTCATAAAAGGTTATGACTGGTTGCCAGGGGTCCAATCCATGGTGCATGGCATGGACCAGAGCATAATCCATATTGACCTGCCTGCTATATTGTTAGTCATGACCAGGGACTATGAATTGGTGCATACTGCTCTCCCTTCTGAAGGTCGACCATTGCATGAGGTACAAAACAGCCATGCCTCACACAGGCACATCCACCAATCCTGGTCAATTCCAACTTATTCCTTTGTGCATTTGCTTGATTAACAGCCCAGTGGTTATTGCAGTCAGATTTCTGCATGATGCAATCAGTCCAGTGCCTTTGGAGAGATCATGGTGCACCAACTTCTATTCAATTTATGGTCCCAGTCAAATATTCCTTGTATGGAGCTGATGTGACCATGAAGCCATTTCCATCCATGAGCCAGACCTCTTTGGCAGCATTCTTGGGCAGCATATGCTTGGCCTTGAAGTTGCTGTCCATCACAAAGGTCCTAGCAAACTGCCAGCTACACAAGTCAGGCTAACAATGCCTTTGCAATAATGAATAGAATAGAGACTCAGAGAGATTGATATCCTGATCCAGTACATTGATCCCTGGCTGGGGACAGGCAGGGAAGAAGAGGACAAGTTCACCAGCCTGGGGATCAGGCAACTGTTGATGGAATCCCTGCCATTTCAACAGCTTTAGGAGCCTCCACATTCTTGACACCCTGAGCAATTCCCTATACCTATTCTTCAACTGGCATGAGTGATGTGGCATATGGTAGGCCAGGGGTGATTGCACTCACCAGCACTAGGTGAGGAAATGCACTTGAGGTGACTCTCTTAAGTTTGCTATAATAGTTCATGGTGGAGGTTCCACATTCAACATTGTCCCTGATGAAGTCATCCAGCACCTGGAAAGTGAAAGCTGTCCTTGGTGCCTTAGTCGTAGCTGGGAATAGGCTGGCCATGGTAAGCTGAAGATGTGAATCCTCAGACCCAGGGCAGTTGCAATACTGCACATTGCAAAAGTGCACACTGCCAGTGTCCACAACTGTCAGGTAGTTTCTATCATCTGGTGGGTTGAGATGTGCTGGTTGTTGACTCTCCTTGATGTCCTCCCACTCTTCATCTACATGGCTGACAGCATCCTCCCAAGAACCTTCTCCTGCTGGGCATGGTGCTCCAGCATGGCCCAAGTGTAGCACCAAACCAACCTACAATATCAGTCATCACAGATGATGGGTTGAAACTGGAACTCACCAGCCATAGAGTGAAGTCTTCAAAGAATCTTCCATTCCATTTTTTTACTGCAATGGAATGGTCTGAGTTTGTGTTGCTCAATGCAACATGTTTTACAAGACAATGGGTGATGAGCACAGTCCATGCATCTATATGGTGCCCCTTCTGCTTTACACACAAAACAAGCCATGACATCAGGCAGGGCCTCCATGTCCAAGAGCACAGACAGGTATCTACTCTTATAGGGCAGCCACTCTTCCAGATAACTGTTCTGTAATACCATAAGGCACACATTGCCAACACTGGGATGTTTGATAATGCACACCTGGCTTTTTGGAATTCTTGATGTCCTCAGTGGTGATGCATCATCCATGTAGCAATATAGGTCAGCATCATTACCCTGGACTAAATTGGGTTCCTGGATGCTTGAAGATCCTGCCCTAGTAGGTGATTCATTGCTTTGGCCAGTTGCATATCTTGCCTTTTCTCTTGGAGTAAACTTGACCATCTTTTCTTTGGATCCCCTGGTTGTTTTCACCTTTTTCCAAGTGACATGGGTTACTGGGGTGGCCACTGCAGCTTGGGTGATTTGTGACTTGCCCATGTCTAGTATCAAGTCCTTGCAGGATGTCTGCAGGCCTCAGCCATACATGCCTCATTGTGAATGCCTGGCACAACTATGATTTGAGTTGGATCTCGGAATCAATGTCAGAAGATCCAATCAGGATCAAACTATACTTTATCTATATATAGTAGCAGACTGGATGATAGATGAATCAGCTTACCATGTTTGGCTATGGTACCAATCAACTGGAACAAGACCATACTAACAATGGGTATGTATCATGACCAGAACATTACTTGGCCCCTGGAACTTTATTCAAGAATGGGTGACAGTAACTATGAGGAATGGACTCCAAATTTTCTTTCAACAGAGGGTAACATTACCTGCAACTAACCAACCCCAACACCTTCTCCAACATTCAGAATGGCCAGCAGCAATCACAGTACTAATTGTGTTAATACCTCAGATGAGGAGGACTTTTGCTCTGATGAGGAATCTAGCTTGGATAGCATGGAGACAACAAAATCTGCACCAGGAAAGCTGAGACTAGACAAACTTCAAATCCTCCAAGATGGTCTAAATGATTGGAAGGAAGCTGACACAAACAAAAGGGCCTCACTGATGGAGGGCATGTGGAACAAAATCAAATGGCTAGATACTAACAAGAGCCTCAAACAAAATGAATGGAATAGAAAATGGACAGTAAGCTTGACAGTTTTAATGTACTCACAGTCATATTAAGTATATTTTACAGGCCATCAAGCACTGGATGTATAACAACAGTTGGTCCTGTGCATGGAAGGCCCTGGTCAAGTATGGCTCCAAATGGATGGCCCTAAAGGTGATCAAGCTGCAGTGTAAGAAGGATATCCAGCAAGTACTTGTGAAGGCCAGAATACATCCTGGGATGTCAGCTATGATCAAACATTATCAGCCAGCCATTCAGAAGGTAGTCCAGTCATTGACCAAGGCTGAATTGGACCAGGCAGCCCATTTGGCAAAAGAGTGGAATGAGAGAAAGCTGCCACCCAAAGCCAAGGCAGAATAAGCATCCAAGTTCTCCCATGGGCAATACTAACTTAAATGCAGGGCAGCAACAAGTAAGGGCCAGAAGTATGCAAAACAGTTTGCATATGACATGTGGAAGCAGTGTGGGATGAGAGTGGTGATCATGTCAGCTTGGAAGGATAAGGAAGGTGAAGTGATGGTTGGAGTGTGAGTGCCTTCCTGACAGGCTTCACCATATCTGACTGGTGTAGGAATGACTTCAATGATGAGCTGGGTGATGGAGAGCTCTATTTGGATTGGGAAGACCTTCATGGAAAGTGGTCAGCCTATGCAAAGAAGGCCTTTGGGGCCAATGGTACAGAGGATGGTAGCAGAGAGGATGAGGCCAGTCAAACCACAGTAAAAGCACAGAAAGGAAAAAAGCAGTCTCAATTCTCCCTGTCTACCAATGATGATGGCACACCCATTCTTCCAAATCTCTTGGACTTACAGACACCAGAATTAAAGGACATCATGAGGGTGTTTGTAACCAGCCATTATCATACATGCCAATTTCCTATGGTTGATGAGTTACTAACATCTAAACACAGGCTTGGCTTGTGGGAAGACAAATGCCAGTGTACCTTGGGCTGCAATAGCTGACAACCTGGGCATCCTATGTGTCTTCCAAGTATCTTCCTCCCAATATCCTGTTCAAAGAGCCCACCAGGCTGACACATCATGAACTAATCAAAACCTTGGAGTTCTGGAAGGAGTGACAGCAGGAGCACCCAGAAGATGTCTTCCAGTTCTGAAGGTGGAGATCTCAGGATGGTTCCCTGGAGGAGCTGGTCACCAAACACCAACACTGGTCAGACAAAGCCAAAGGGAAGAGACCCTGGATGGAAGGTGAGGTCATGATCAATTTGGATATACATAACTGATTGCACATTAAGTAAATTCTCTTGATGGCTCTGACTATGGACATCACTCAGAGGAGGAACCAGCTCCTCCCACAAAACCTTCCACCAAACAGCAACGGATAGATGGTATGTTGGAGCTGGTCAGATTCTTTACTGGTAACCCTAACATGACCTTGGAATTGTGTGCTGAAGATCATCCCACTGGAACATCCAATGCACAGGAGGACAACAGATGATGGAACCAGTCCACATCAGACTGGCACAATATGGCTACTGCATACCCCAAGCCAGCTGGTAAGTGGTATCCAGCAACAATGAATATTGCTGATAGAATTGTATCAGACAATCATGCCAATGATGGTGGCAATTTAACTGCAAGGAAGCCCAAGCCCAAGCCAAGAATCAGATCCAATGGTTGGTTTCCATGCACACTTGGTTAATCCTCTCATTACAGCATTCTACAGCAGCCCAGAATGATAAGACAGTCATATCACCTAATGATCATAGGTATACATCCATAACACAATTACACACACTTATCTATGTCAGGAGTTGATCCAGTGGGTAGGAATTCAAATGCCAGGCCTAGATGCTGTGTGATGGACAGGGAAGATGGACTGTTGGATCAAGCAGAAGAGGATGGTGTGGCTCATTGCCCAGAGCAGAATCATAGGCCCCCATGGTGGCCAGATGATAATTATCCTACTCCAACCATGAGGAGGTGATGGTAGAATTGAGGCCAGTACCTACTGTTTTCCAGTAGACTGGCAACAACCATATATAGTGCACAGTGCAAGAATTGCCAGTGAATTACCAGCCCCATAGCTACCATGTACTGTAACCCACTGTCATAATCCAATTGCAGCCAATTTGTGCACTTCTCCAATTCCATTCAACATAATGTTCATTGAAATGAGTTAAATATACAAATTAAAGCTGGTCTGGTTTAAGATGGTAGCCTGCCTATGCCTGCCAGCTCTTCCTCCAGAAGATCTGCTAACTGTTGCCAGAATCTGGTAAGCATGGCATGCCACTCAACATGTGATCACCACTCCCTGGTTGCATCCACCAGGGTATTGGCATAATACCTATATGCAGTGATCAGATTGGCATCGTGTGTGGCATTGATGTCTGGCTGACATGCCCCACTCCTAGCCATGATACTGGAGATCCACCTTGACATTTGAACTGGTAGACATGTTTAGCTATGGTTGCATAGGAACTTCTGGACTTACACTCAGCTTGTGGAGTATCAACTCCTGGCTGTATGGCAAACTCCTGGGAGACTGCTAAAGCTCCAAATGCAACAATGGGATTGGCACTGGCGATGGGGATCTAGCCAGTGGTATCAATGTGGAGCTGAATGATGCAGGAGCATCTGAAAGGTCCATAGGTTGACAAGGACCAGGGAAATTGCTGCCAGGTGATGTGAATGTTGTTGGGCTGGGAACCAGGATAGGATTGCAACAGGCTGGTGACACAGAGGGAGTTAAGGACTGAAATTGGGGCTCATGCAATAGGATGAATGGTCATGATGATTGGCCAGCTGCATGAGTTGGGTAGATGTAAGCTGACAATCTTGTGGCAGCAGGCAACTGAAATGCTGGTTCTTGTAAAGGACTGACCAGTGGGGACTGGAATGGTGGGGGCAACCCCAAAGGCAGCTTGTGCAATGGCATACCTGGGGCAACAGGTAGTGGTAATTTGTCCCATGCTGGCTCAAGTAATGGGGTGCTGTCAGAGAGGTGTGTTGATATGGAGTCCCAAGGAGGCTCAACCAATGGGCTGCTAGAGGAGGGAGATGGTGCCAATGACTCCCATGCTGGTGCTATCAAAGGTGATCTGGGTGAACCAGAGGACTGGAAGGAGGGTTCCTTTCTGGTTGTGCATATTGTTTGAGCTGGGGACAGCTCAAAAGGTGGCTCGCATAATGGGGATGATGGTGTGTCTGGCAGGTCATCTTCAGTGAACATTTCCTCATCCTCATCGAGAGATGCAAGCTGCTGCATATCATGGCATGATGAAATTACTGCACACAGTCATTAGAAGTAATGGTCCTTGGACTGGTTGACTTACAGAGTTTATCTGGACTGCTGGAACTGAATCTAACATTTCTGGGAGCCATATGAAAGTTCAAAATGTTGTAGGTGTTTGAGAATGATTTCAGGTACCAGTGATAAGATTGCATTACACAATATTTTTTCACTAGTCATCATGCAGGATGTGCAAGTGCATACATAATGGAAATGGGCACTTAGTGGAATGACTGTCAACTGCCATACATTACTCCCACCAAAATATGTTCAATGGTTAAACCAGTACATTGACTATTGTAAATCACAGCATCACTGGAGTGAGCATTTGTATTGTGCTTATGTAAGCCTGTTGAATGGTGTATGCTAGCCAGCAAATTCACCACACCACTCAAGCACCCACCACCTGCACACCTAAGCTTTAACAGCACTATGTCTACTGCCAACACCAGCACCTTCATCCTGGCACAATTGACCAACAACATCCAGCCAGTCATCACTGCTGAAAATGCCAAGCAGATGGTCAAGGAGGCTGCCAGGGTTACAATGCAGGCACTGAGAGGACTTCAGGGCCAGGGACACTAAGCACTGGGGCAAATGCAGCTCAGCTTGTGGGGGCCCAGCTGGTAAGTGAAATTGCACAGCCATGATATCCATTCCTGACATCTATGTAGGGAATGGTCCACACAGTTGTTGAACATCTACCCCTGGCATTCAAGATCCCTCCACATCTTATTGCTATCAATATGCACATGGTTGACCTGGCAACAATCTTTGCCATGCAGATGTGGCTGCCTTTCAACCAGATGATGACAGCATGAGAGGCCAATGTGAAGGATCATGCATGGTATTGCCTTTGTCACCAGCCTAAGTCTCACCCATATTACAAGGTCATGGAGGAGCTTACCAGGCCTTCATCAAGGGCCAAGCACCAGGCACAGCTGGTGGATAAGGGGAAGGGGAAAGAGTTGGGTATGGATGAGGCTCAAAGGATTTGGCTTCTGGGTGAGCACTAATTCTGAGGATGGCAATTGAGTAGACTGCTGATATGGGATCCTAAGATGTGCACCCACAGACACTATGGCTAGGACCACTGGAGTTGTGATGCAGAAGCTGGGAAATGAGGAGGATCAGAACAGGGAGAAGGCACAGGGCTGTAGCCAGTCAAGATGTGGCCAGCCAGTGGCCAAGCCTGTCGATGCCAGTGATCAGACCAGTAGAGGCTGGAGCCAGTCAAGGAGACCAATGAAGAAGGCAAAACCAGCAGTCAACAAGGATGTGCAGGACCAGTGAGACATCAACAACCCTCCTGAGTCCTGAGAGGTAGTGCCAGAAGCTGAGCAGTGTGTGAGATGCTGGGACAGGAGTTGGCCCTGTATGGTGCTAGCTGGCAGGGCATGCTGGAAATGCCACTGTACCAAATACTCATGCAGCTTGTTCAAGGGGAGGGAAGACAAGTCCAAGATGCAGTGAAAAGCCTCCTGTTCAAGGCCTCACTGGGAATGATCCCCAGAAGACATGGCTGGCCTTCCCACCACTTCAACACTGGCTGCACCAGCTCCATCAGCTGGTTGACAAGCCAAACATCAAAGGGCACCAAGCTGAAATCAATCTGCTAGTCCATCCAAAGTAACAAGCTGTCATTCATCTCCTGGCCCATGGACTGGCTGCCCCAGTAAGTTATTCACAGTCCTATGTTTTTTGCTAATCAGTTGAACCTAATATTTCTATTGAGTAGTGGAAATTATTACTCTGTCATGGCTATCCCAGTCATGGTCTCATGCAAGAAGTGTTGCAACAGACCCACCCATCACTCCAGCACCAACTACTACAACTGGTGCTGATGATCCATGCCATTGTGACAAGTATCAGGAAGAGGTTACCATCATCAAGCAGGAGAATTCTGACATGAGGCAGGAGATAGAAGTAACCTGTACTGAGCTTGCTGCTCTCCATTGGGTGGTAGATGCTATCTGTAATCACCTATTCCCAGCCCCAGATGTGCTTAACCATCCTCTGGTCCCATTTCACACTACTTCCAACCCTACACTGGTACCTCACATGCCAGTCCATGGTGGAACTTGGCACTGCAACCAGTGTTGTAGAGGTTCAATCATCCCAAAGTGGCTCAAGACAGGAGTCCACTGAACCCCCTCCCCAGCTTCATTTGAGGGAGGTGCTGGCTTGGAAGTACCTCCTTCAAATGTCAAAGCTGTGCATGGACCTGCTGGAGGTCTGGCAATCTCTATTACTCCACCACCACCAGCAGTCAGATCAGTGCCTGGACAGGAAGGTAGGATGGAGGTTGACTAACATCAATGTACTTGTCATTTCACAATCCATTTGTGTTTTTTTGTCTTTGTACTTGTACTTTGTTAAATGCAGCAATATATTCTATACTGTCAAAATGTGATCTCCAGGAAGAAGTAGCTACCACTACTGGTAGTTGTTACTGTATGATTCAGATACTGGAAAACCAATCTGGTATGGTGATGTCTGTACCAAGGCCATGGTGTTACAAGCACTAAGGGCCAATGGAGTCATGGTTCACCTAGATGATTGAATGATGACTGGCCTGCATAACTCAATTGTTTTTGCTGTATAGCATGATGGTGACTTTCATGGTATTGTTCTGGCTTGCTGGAGGCTGTAAGGCATTGAATTCACAGTTTAAATGTACTGGGTAGTTGGCTAGTCTTCTGGTCATCACCAGAGCCACCATTGTGGTAATACATGCATCTCTGGCATGGTACTGGTACCAGTACATACACACACTGTGGACCTGCTCCCAGGAGGTCAGGCAGGTCAGGCATGGCATGGTATAATTTCTGGGCAGGCCTCCATGGCATTGGCACTGGGATGGCATTCATGGCATTGGTTCCAGGACAGCTTGACTGATGGCCTCATGGCATTGGGGATGTGCCAGAACTCATTACAATGGTGCTGTGACAGCCTGCATGATGGCCTCATGGCATTGGGGATGTGCTGGAACATATGGCATAGATGCTGGGACCACTTCCATGGAATTGGTGTTGTGCTGGAACACATTACAATGGTGCCAGGATGGCTTGCATGATGGACTCATGGCATTGGGGATATGCTGAAATACATGGAACTGGTGCTGGGGTGGCTTCCATGGCATTGGTGTTGTGCCAGAACACATTACAATGGTGCCAGAATGGCCTGCATGATGGCCTCATGGCATCAGGGATGTGCCAGCACTCATTACACAGGTGCCAGGATGGCCTGCATGATGGACATGTGGCATTGGGGATATGCTGGAATACATGGAACTGGTGCCAGGCTGGCCTCCATGGCATTGGTCCAGTGCTGGTACACATTACAATGGTGCCAGAATAGCCTGGATAGGCCTCATGGTATTGAGGATGTGCTAGAATACATAGCATAGGTTCCAGGATAGCTTCCATGACATTAGTATTGTGCTAGAACATATTCCAATAGTGCCAGGATGGCCTGCATGATGGCCCCATGGCAGTGGCAATGTGCCAGAGCATGTGGCATTGGTGCCAGCATGGCTTCCATGACATTAGCATTGTGCCAGTTCACATTAAATCAGTGCCAGCTGGGATGGCTTCCATGGCATTAGTCCTGGGTTGGTGTTGGCCTGGCTCACATTGCATTGGTGCTGGGATGCCTTGAATGGCATTGGTATTGGGTCTGCCCATGTGGAATCAATGCCAGGACAGCCAGCATGGCATTGGTATTGTGCTGGCCTGCATGGCATTGGTACTTGGCCTGTTCATATTGCATTGGTGTTGGCCTGGCTCACATGGCATTTGTCCCAGGATGGCCTGCATGGCATTGGTGGTGGACCAGCCCACATGGCATTGTTGCTGGGATGGCTAGCATGGCATTGGTGTTGGGCCAGCTTGCATGGCAGTGCTGCCAGGGGTGAACTCAGGGGCTGAGCCCATCCATACCTTCCAGGGACACCCAACTCTGGGCTTACCTGGGACTACTCATATTGCAGTGGCTACACCCTAATCCCACAGCTGGCTTGTACCCCATGATGACAATTCTAACCTCTGCCCAGCCATTCTCCATAATGACTCCTACTCTTGGGCTCACCTGTATGCTATGGTGACACTCATTTATTGGGCTCTCCCATAGTCCATGATGACACTTACTCCCCAGCCTGCTTGTAACTGACAATGACAATTCAAACCACAGCTGCACCATTCCTCATGACAACATTTCCTCTCAGGCTCAGCTGTACTACATGATGACACTCATCAGTTGGGCTCTCCCATACTACAAGGTGTCAATAGGTTCATGGCTCTCATGTAACACATGTGCACAAGCCATACATGGGCTCAACCTCCACTGACCATCTCATATGGCCTAACCAGGTGCATGGGCTCCCCACTTATCCTTCCTTCTGCACTCATTTCCCTTCACTGGAGAAGCAATGTGGCAAGCCATTACTCAATACCTGAGCTGAAGGGAATCCTTACCCAAAGAAGGTGTTTGTCTACCACAGCTTCAAAGACTACCTCACAACACTACTGTCTTGACCAGATACTGAGGCAGCAATGGACTCTGCATGTGATGATTTACATGCCTCATCCTCACAACCACATTTTGTGAAGAACCCATTTGAAGCCCAGTTCCTTCAAGAGTTCCATGGGCCTGTGCCTGGGAAGCACTTTGTTGATTGTGGAGATGAAGGTCAATATGTGTTTGCACTTCATGTGGATTTCTTCAACCCTGGAGGTATGAGTGTATGGGGACCAAGCATGTTGTCTGGGATCATTTCAATGGCATGTCTCAATCTGCCATTGGATCTGAGGTACAAGCCAGAAAATCTTTATCTTGCTGGCATTATTCCAGGCCCCAAACAGCTGTCACTCAAAAATCTTAATCATTACATATGACCACTGATGAATGACCTAGTTGCTGCTTGGGATTCTGGCATTTGCTTTTTGAGAATGGTGAATCATCCTGGCAGATGAGTTACATGCAGTGCCATCACCCTTGTTGTCTGTGATCTCCCTGCCTCTTGCCACCTTGCCACTTTCACTGGAATTGGGAGTCACTTCTTCTGCACTGTTTGCAGCTGCTACCACAAGACAAATTACAGTCAGATGGACTTCAACAACTGGATGGTGTGTGACAAAGACAAGCTCCACCAATATGCAGAGCAATGGAGGGATGCACATACATCTTCTGCATGTGACAGGATCTTCAAGGAATACAGTGTTCACTACTCAGAACTGTGGTGTTTGCCATATTGGGACCCCACTCACCAACTTGTCATAGATTCAATGCATTGTATACTCAAGGGCCTTGTTCAACTCATGTGTGCAGTCCACTTGGGTTAACCACAGAGACTTCTTCCACTGTGCACTCTGTAATTCCTGCATTTCACTATGAGTTTAAGTGGGTCATCCCTGGTACCCCCAAGGCATTGTCTATGACAATGAAGGAGATCATGCAAGTCTTGGCACTTCACAAGCTTCTTGTTTCACCAGTCCCATCATATGATGACAACACAGCTGTTGAGTCCTTCATGACCAACTTGTGGGAGTTGCTAGTCCACAAAACTGCTTTCCCTCTGAAATTTTTTTGCCAGAGCTTAGGGTGTGTTCCCTCAAAGAGTGGTAAAGTTCTCAAAGCTGATTATGCCAAGGTGCTTGTTGCTTGGGTAAGTTATTCCTGATCTTACTATGTGTCCTGCAGCTGATGCAATGTATACTCAGTGGCTGCAGATGCCCTTGTCTGCATTACAGCACCGACCCAGCAAGTTTGCCAAGTCAGACATGTTGAATCAAGTTCACAAAGTTATTTGTGATGTCATGACACCATCATGGTTGGGCTCTGTTCCCAGCAATTTTGGCAATGTGTCCACTGGCACTATCAAGGCAGATGAATGGTGCTCACTGATCATGGTTTATCTTCCCCTAACATTGATCAATCTTTGGGGTACAAGTAATGACAGTTCCAATGATGGCACAGACCTTAAGGCTGTTCTCAATCACACAATGGATCTCATTTCTGCCATCAATCTTGCCTGTGCTCAGACCATGAGTACTTTGCAAGCTTCTGCATATCATGCCTATATTGCCAGCTATGTTGGAAAGCTGAAGGAACTCTATCCTACACTTGATGCACAACCCAATCACTATGCATTGTTCCACATATATGATTACCTCCTACTCTTTGGACCTGTGCAATCATGGTGGTGCTTTCCATTTGAGCAGTTGATCGGGGTGCTGCAACATCTTCTGACCAACTACCAGACAGGTTTGTGATTGATGGATTAAGCTGTAGAACTTGGAAACTGAATCTAACAAACAGGAGAGCTGGAGAAAACAATGACTCAGTCATATCTGAAGGCTGGAAGACTTTGTAGTTGGTTGTCTTGACCTCACTGCCCCCCTGCTATCCATGAATGTAAACTTCTTCTTGATTGTGCATATGGTACTATGGATGGAGGTTGGGAGACCCATGGAGATGCATTGGATGCTGGAACATGAGTGCCTGACAGTGCTAAGCTGGTAGTGATGCTGAAGGACTTGTTTGAACTAACCCAACAGCAACATGTAGTCCTACATGCCCACCTCAAACTTGACAACACCATGTACAGCAGGTTCTTGACTCATGATGGCAACTTGCTTATTCTATTCTATCCAAAAGGCAACTACAAATGTTTGCCCATCCCTGGCACTATCAAGTATATCTATGGTTGTGATGGGGTATTTGTCTTTGCTGTACTGCAATATTCCTTGCTGCCACATGCTACAGAATCAGATCCATTTGCTGCCTACCCCCACTTTCCTGCCAAGTCATACTCTTCCACACTCTCAAACCACTTGGATACCATCAAATTATCATGGTGTTATGCCCAAGCAGAGTGACTTTGTCAAATGGACTAGGCACAATGTGTGCAAGGGGAATACTACAGGCTGAACTTGTCATAACCCCTATGGCTCAGTTATTGTGAAAGTCCAACAGAGGTTTGCTCCTTCTGGTGAGTTCTTCTGAGATCACACAGAGGAGGGAACAAGGACAAAAGCAAAGGGATGAAGCTGAGTTGCAAGTAATTGAAAAACTGAGGATACAAGGTAAAGTACACAGGTTTATATACCCCTAAGTACAAGTACCATATCAGTTGTGACACATATCCACAGTAATCAACAACATGATCAGTCAAATACATAAGTCAGAACAAGTCATATGGTGTCATATGATGGGGATGGCAAGGAGATGAAGGCTATACTGGCTGTGCAATCAATGTGCAGCAAGGAGCCAGACACTGGAGCAAGGAAACAACATACAAGCAATATAACCAAGTCAGAAAGGAGAAACATAACAAGTCATCCATCAGAGAGGGCAGTGGAACACCAGATCTTCCAAGGTGGTGTGATTGACAGGTATTGGAAATACCACAGAACATGGAGATCCAAGGGTCCCTTGTAGCATCCAAACCCCTAGGACAGCAATGATTATGAAAGACACAACAAGGCATGTGATGCACGTGACCGCAAGAAGTCAAAAAAGGAAAGACCCCTGATGCAGGTGTAACACATGGGTTGTCAGTCACTTTGCCAGGTGGGCTGTTGCAGGTGATTGCATCATCATGCTGTCTCTTTGTCAGGTGAGCAATTTTGTCCTCTTGCCCAATGATATTTCCATTAACTCTTTCATGCAGGACTGATCTGTGAGCTTCACATAGTATAAAATCTGGTTGTCATTGCTGTTGTTGACAGAAATTGGGTGCTTGAAGTAAAATGATAGTGATTTTGGGTGACCAGAGGGCGATGGGTGGGTGATTGGCAGGCAATGGGCAGGTGACCAATGGGCAATTCATATAAACTGTACATAATACTTTACATTTCAATCAACATTTTGTCCTCATCCCAAACTTCAAAATTAGGCAGAGTATTTATTGTTCGTGCATATTTGGAATCTTGGTCAACACACGAACATAGTGCATTCTTGATGTTTTGTTGAAGTCACAATGTGAAGACGAAATCGGAAGTTTGCACGCACATTCAAACCACTACCAAACTTGAAGCTAAAATTGACGTTCTGACACCGTCGATACATGTGCGTAAACTTGAAGTATTAGTAAACATTGAGGCGTTCACGAAAACTTCAAGTTTCGCCTTCAAAAAATTGTTGAATTAATTTTCAAGTGCAGTCTTTACATTTTCTACTACATTAAGACCTGTCCTTAACTCTCCAAAATCCGTTGTGTTTTCCGACACGAGTACACGTCCTGATTCAGAAAATGGGTTGTCAAGTCGACACTACTATTACATTCTTCGATCTATACTGCTTGGATGTCTGTGGTCATGATTGAGTGTATCGTAAGGAAAGATAGAACTGGACATATTAGAGATTGCAAGAGATCATATGTAAGAGTGGTGAACGACGAAGGAAAAAGAAGAAAATTAGCATGCAATTTTGGAGCCTAAAACTAGATGTTCGGCAAGAGCAATGCGTAAGAAACCACAATTAGAAGCGCCTAAGGAAATCAAAAGTCAACGGTATGGATGGGGGGGATTTGGATACATCCCGTGTATCCGGTGTAAGCAAAGTGAATAGGATAGCTAGATAGAATACGAACAGTAAGAAACATTGCGGGGGGGAAGATCATACCACATCGCAAGGGGAATTTACAGTCAGGCAACGCCAATCTCGATAAAACTTCTCCACTTCCACGAAGACACGCGCTCCTCCGAATCGGCCTTCAGATCGATGAAACTACGCAGAGGAAACCATGATTCAAGCGTACTCCGTCGTTTGCGTCCGCGAGACATGGCTGTGGAGGCAGATGAAGCTCCGACAACATTGCCTACAGGGGAGGATGCAGCTGGGGCCGAGGACGACATCGCGGGAAGTGACGAACTGCTCGCCAACGCAGAAGGCTCAACAACGAGTGTCGTCCCGGATAAAAACAACGGCGCAGACCGTGCAGGTGAGGGCGAGAATCGTTTCCGGATACGCTGATTATCGTCTGCTCCAGGCCGGACTTTGTTGCTCACGAAGAGGCGCGAAGAATTGGGAGGGCTCTGCCCTTCCTCACCTCCTTCGTCCTCGACGTCCCCCATCGAGCCCACGTCTTCAACACAAATGGTCGGCGCAATCCGCATCTCCTCACCCCCAGGGCAAGTAACAACTGTATCCTGTCGGTTGCCCTCGCCGTCGCCCTCTTCGTCCTCGCCATCGCTCATACTCATGAAGTTACTCTTTCTGCGTCCATCTCCACGCCCACGGCCCCGCAATCCCAATCTCCCCCTACCTTCTAGACAAGCTAACGCATCCATTCTACTCCGCATTCTGGCTGATGAAGTGATACTTTCTGAGCGCGCAGGTGAAGACGCGCGACGCTGGTGATGAGGCTGATGTGGGTCCGCTCCACCGTCTGAGAACGCCGGCGAACGAGGAGAGAAAGGTGGTGGTGAGAGCAATGACGAATCATACTCGACAAGAGGGACTGAGTGAGATGCACGGCGATGTGAAGATCGGGGCGGATGAGGTGATGAGACGAGTACGTTCAGAGATGACGTATACGAAGGTGTAGAGGGTACAAGCGAAAGATACGGACGCGATGGTTGCACCAGTCCAGAGTGTGATGGGCTCGGAGGTGCTGTCCTCGCTCCCTTCTGCAACGGCAAGGGGGAAGGCGGCTGCGACTCTGCGCTCGGAGGGTTGTTGGGCAGTAAAGTCGTACCTGCCGATGAGGACACTGCCGGAGGTTCTGGGAGTGACGTCAATGGCACCGGCTTCGGAGAGGGTATATTTCGCAATGACTCTCGCGAAGGTCGCCGTGACACGACCGGCACAGCAAGCTTAGGAGGGAGAGGAGGAACACGTTTAGGAGTGAATGCGATATGCCTCTCACGTCGGCTGTGCAGGTACGTCAGCAGGAGTATGCTACATGGACCAAGAAGACACACAAATCGCTGTTCAGTTCTGAGGTACAGAATGTCCAACTGGTCGATCGCGACAACATGGAAGTTTTCCGCTTGTGAGAGGTCTGTTGACGACTTCGCTGCGTCTGAGCCGCTATGGACCTGGCAGAGCTGCTTGCTAGATCGAGATACAGGAATGACCGCAACTCGACCGTGTCGCGTCTGCCCGTCCGCAGTGTGAAGTAATAGGCAGATGGGTCGTCGTCGTCGACATCGTCGAGGGGGACGGTCTCTGGGGATGTTTGCAGGAGACCCCAAGTGAACAACGGAGAGTAGCCAGAGGACAGACACCGGGTGGACATTGCACAGCGGGCGCCCTCGAGGCCACCCCAATTGTTATATACTTCAAAAATAAATATAATTTATAAATAGCGTTTACCGATGCAATGCGGCGTCGGTCGTCACGGCAATGACATTTTATATTTTATGTTTACATACCGCAATCGTCTGCCAAGCTTGACTAACAGGACCAGTGCCCGTCAGCCCTGCCATGACACCGACCACTCTCTGTCTGGTCTGGCTCATGCCAGAGTAGCCCTGTTGACTACGCCCCGCTTCACAAAACAGGGACCCGTGGAGAGGCGCTTGGGACAGCCATGGACACAGGAAGACATTGCGGACCGATGGCACCACACATACTCACGCCAAATATACCAGCAATATTGCACGGTAATTGACTGCGACAGTGCGACACGCCTAGTCAAACTCCTTATCAGATTACTGCACTGCTTGTCAGCGCAAGAGCTATCCCGCAGCTACGCCGGAATTCTCGAATTCGAAGCTACCAAGACAACCTGCGGATCACAGTCGAAATCAAAGATTGGAAGGAAATCACCTCGACGCATAGCAACTGTGCGGACCCTATCATACAGATCGCTCTTCTTTGACACGCCGGCGCCCATCAATATCACGGGGATGATGTCCCACCGAACGGTGGTGCCCTGTGGTCCCCCCTAATGATTTTTGCCGTCAGTTGTACTACTGTCAATATACTGTCCGGTTCCGGCTCCCGGTGTCAAGTAAGCACTATCAACACTCCCTAATGGCATCACCATATCGACGTCCGGACCGCATTAATTTATCTGCCTCCCAGTACTGGGACCCGGAACACAAAGCGGAATTGATAAATTTCTTTTTCGCCACCGTAACATCTACACCGTGAACGTGAACCAAGGCATTAATGCTGTCGTCATAGTGACTCAGCGTTATTATGTGGCTACATACTCTTCTTTTGCTTCTCAATCGACGAACGCACGGGTGCCCGGATCAATCGGAAGAGCTATCAAGGTCGTCTGCTCGTCCTTCTGCTGATTCGTTGCGCTTCGCACGCTGACCACCCCGCTGTCAGTTGTCATCTTGACTCCACCACTTCCGGCGGCACTGAGGCGTATGCGGCTCCTCACCATACCTACCATTCCCTTAGGGGTTGGACACTCGTATTGACAGGACTTTACGCCTCTCCTTCGATATGGACATGGCAGGCTCCACACCTGATGCCATTTACCACGCCACGTCCTCGCCCATTTTTTGGATATAGATAATTTGAGGCCAGTCGTCATATCAAGAGGGAAATCTTTAGGCCTTTTGTTATTACATGCGCGTGTAGATCGACAGCGCCAAGTACTAAAATAATAATAATAATTGAGCTTTTTGCTCTTTCACACACCACCATGTGACTCGCTACGAGGGTGCCAGAATACCCCGAGACATTCTCGAACGTGTGCACAGGCGCTGTGTGCCTTTCCCTTCGCCTTTCCTGGTGGCTGGAGTACTAAGTGTGTTACCCCCCCATCGGACTTAACCGCCTTCTTGGCCAGCCTAGACCTGTCCCTTAATACCAGTGAGCTGCGCTAGGGCGATAAAGTAAATCGCCGAACAGCGGAGGTGCCTCGAACGGGGGGGCTTATACAATGTACGTACCCGTCCACCCTGCCACGTGTTGATCCGGCAACCCGAACTCGGGTCTCCTCGGCGTTCCCTTGCGCGATGTGAGGCGATGTGATCGTCGCGTGTATTGTCTGTGGCAGTGAACCAATCAATACAGCAATAACGCGAGTAATTTTTTTCTCTTTGTTCTACTCGAAGCGATATTTCCACGACGTCACAGCTTAGGAAGTCTTTGGGAAGTCTACAGTGCCCCACTGCCACTGCGCGTGACAAGGAAAGTCATCATCGTCTGCAGCGGGGTCACTACGGCAGAGGAGTGTTTGTTTCTGGCTGCATACTTCACCCCACATGAACCACCACATGGTTTTCTCCAAAGTTCTTCAGGATCGACATCCGTTGGCTCGAAAGCCTGGCAACGGCCGACGGTTAACCGACATTGTTTCAACCCTTAATGTGCACTTGGCATGACCACCTGCACAACTTATTTACCGTTTCCAATGCGGGTCATTGCGGTCGTATCATCAGCAGTTAGACCCACGCGTAGACGATGCGTGGCGTTTCGTGGGTGCCTTCCATTCCGCCCTGGATAGAAAGGTAAGTCATCCTCTTGTATCTCTCTATGTGCAACATCTTTTTTTTTTGCGATTTACCTGTGCTCTTCCATCCATGGCTTCTCTTCCGTCTACCTACGAACATGGTGGAGCCGTTCTGGGGTATCTTCGGCATCCATCCCTACCGACAGTACTCGGCGATCCATGCTTCCTCCTCGGCCCTACTCACAGAGTTTTCACTTCACACGGAACCAGCACAAGCGCTCATGCAGGCCCTTCATTTCGAGACGGTTGCCTGGACACTGGACACTTCAACAGCAGTAGGCTTCTGTTGATACTGATCACTACGAAGTGGAAGCGCAATAGGTGGGTTTGTTCGTGAGTTTCTTAGTTTTCATTAACAGGTGATTGAGAGGCTCTGGCCCCATCAAACACACTCTTCATCCTCATCAGAAGAAAAGATAGAAGTGGACTCGGGACGTCAGATATTTTCGTTACCCCCAGCTTTGTTCCAAGTCAGAAGCTGTGATAAGATCCATGGGCTGTACTGAGGTTGGGTGAACGAGTGCAAAGATTGAACCTGCAAGACAGTCAGGATTAAATATGTCTTACTGGGCGCGGGATTAATCAAGGAAGGTCAGTCTCGGAAGCCGATGGCATCGAAATTCTTTGGCCAGTGATCGTTAGATCAGACCTTGCTTTTTTTGGCGCCCAAGTGTTGGGATACGTGGGATTTTCTAACGTTATTTGTGGTCGTTCCTGCAACTCATTCAGCGGTCTCTGAAGATCTGATAGTTGAAGCAGTCTACACATTTCTGCTGCATCAGCATGCAGTGGCTGACGCACGCCGACCGGCATCAGCGTGGGCTCTAGTGGCAGTGACCCAAGCGGGATCACATCAACTGTGCCCACCGGTAACCAACCGTATAAGAGATCTTTCATGCTGTTCTAGCGCCCACAGACGACTCCTTCTTTTCACTCCCAACAGTACCTGCGGAAATGTCGCACTTGCAACCGACTAGAAAATGGGATGCACGGTCAGTTGTCTCTCGTCGTTAGTTCGTTATCGCGACTGAGTACTGACCATCCCCTTACAACTCGTCCAGGTACATCGGCATCGTACCTCATGACAACACATACTACGCCAAATGCTTGATGGGAGGTGCACTCGCGTGCGGTCTCACCCATGCCGCAATGACTCCCATCGACGTTGTGAAGTGTAACATGCAGGTAAGCACGACGTCTCCTACCTCTCCCTTCTCCGATCTTGACGCACTTGCTTCTCTACAGGTCAATCCAGCCAAATACCAGCGCCTCTGGTCCGGCTTGGCCACCGTACTCCATGAAGAAGGTTCAACGGGTATATGGAAAGGCTTCGGGCCCACTCTCATCGGCTACACCCTCCAAGGGTCATTAAAGTATGGTCTGTACGAAGCCTTTAAAGACCTCTACATGAACATTGCTGGGGAAGAAGCAACGAAGAAATACAAGCCTGCCATATGGCTTGCAGGCTCGGCGTCCGCAGAGTTTTTCGCTGACATAGCCTTGTGTCCCTTCGAAATGACCAAAGTGAAGATTCAGACGAGTCCGAACGGGAGTTTCCCCACGGCGTTCGGCGCTGCTTTGGCTGAGATGAGAAGTAGAAGGTTAGAAACTCGATACCCGTTCGGATCTCTCGGTCCGCTGTGGACCCGTCAGGTGAGCTATCTGTTCCGTTTTCTTATCTCGACGTGCCTAGACCGAACACTGCGGAACCGCAGATTCCCTATACCATGGCCAAGTTCGTGTTCTTTGAAGGCATCGTACAGCAATTCTACACACACATCTTCACGGCGCCCAAAGAGACATATTCGGAGCTGACTCAACTCGGCATCACGTTCACCTCGGGTTACCTTGCGGGCATAATTTGTGCCGTCGTTTCACACCCTGCCGATACCGTCGTGTCACTCATGAGCAAGGCTGAGAACAAGGGCAAGAGTGTCAGGAACAATCGCTCAGGAGACGGGTCTTGTGACGCTTGCGACCAAGGGCCTTGGTACACGTGTGATTATGATTGGCACGCTTACAGGTGAGTGCAATAGTGTGTATGTCATGTGAAGAGAGGACATAACTGACGCACGATGTTATTCACAGGATTCCAATGGTGGATATACGACACGTGTAAGACTGTGATGGGGCTTGGCACCACCGGTGGGAAGTGAACGTGACAGGTACCACTGCGAGACATTCGAGCCGGGGCTGCTTCGCTACACATCGGGCCAACTGCTCTCATAGCATAGTATATCGGAATTTGAGTAATCATAGCAATAGATTTTCTTCGGCATGGCGAGACCATGCACGTTTTATATGACGAGGTTAGTTCTACTAGATGGTACACGTCCTTTGTTATATGCAAAAGTCATTGAAAGCAGATCGCCTAGCAAATCAGCACTTCCGAAACGCCAATCAGACGTCCAAACGGTTCTTGAAATTCACGAAAATCAACGGCTTTCATTGTGGTCCATTGCTTGCCAAGGGATGTCATCTCGTTCCTGCCGACTCTGCCCAGAGGCAATGGATGTGTGTGATTGAGTGCACATAAAGATCTCTGGAATTTGTCACACGCGTACCTATCTCTCTTGATCCAATCCTGCTTGGAGTGCCCTCCCTCACTCCAAGCAGCCAGTGCATTTGGGACGGGTGGGGAAGACTTGACGTCTGGACTATCTGCCAGACTTTTAAGCTGGCCCAGGATGGCGCTGTCCAAAGCCCGGTTTGGCATAAATGGAAATGTGTATTCGGACCTAGGCTGGTGATCAGGTGTAGAGAAGGGACATCTACACATGGGACATTGAACCATGTCATGCCAGTCCCCGCAGCTGCGATGCAAATGGGAGAAGAACCACTTTAGGATGCATGTAGCGCAGAAAGTGTGTCCACAGGACGGAGAACGTAGGGTATACGGGCACGCGCTAACCGAAACCATACATCTAAGATGTGCACAGTGGAGGGTCGACCAGGAAAAACTTACATTATCTCGAAACAACTATGCGATGGAATGCTGGCTTGAGCTTGCCGTTCGAGTGAAAACGAAATAACATACAGAGGACAGGCAAAATTCTCTTCCAGATTCCTCAGGAGATGTTGAGATGCAGCTGTTTTGTACTCGTTGACCAGGCGAGTAAGCTCCTTGTTTTCACGGACCATGCTCTCTAGCCGCTTTCCGAGGGCAGGTCTGGCTGCGGGGGCCGAGCTTCGCTGGCTCGCGGCGCGCCTTTTGGTGTTCGTGGACTTGCCCCTGACTTTGGAGTTCCCGGCTTTACGCCGGACCCTGGTATCATGGCGCGCAGTCACTACCTTGGCCTGAGGTTTGGAAACGCGAGATCTTTCGTCCAATTGCAAAGCAGTATTAACAACAGAGCGACTGCTTTGTCTCTTCCGCTGCCGATAACGGCCTCCACCTATTAAATAACGTTCGTATCAAAATGTGTCGTGCAATACACAAGAACGTAATGACTTACATAACTGGATGGCAGTGGCAGGATCGCTTCGGGTCTTACGGCGACGAGTGGTGCCTGTTCGCGACGACATGCTGCGGGTGACGAGGCCAGGCCTCACGCTACGCGTGGCGAGACCCGTCATGCTTCTCGTCGTTGGACGACGGCCAGCTGAGCGCGCCGATCTAGTCGATCTCACCATGTTTGTGCCCGGGAGCTGTAGCTTCTAGTCAGAAGGAACGGGGCGTGTTATAATCAGAGTTGCTATGAAATTGCAGCCTAATGGCAACCCCAAGACCGCATCAAACCCCCCTACCCGAGCTGTACAGCAATTCGCGGAAATCCACGGCCCGACCGGTGCGGTGCGGTTGTGGTTAGTGCGGAAGAATTTCTCACTGCGCAGCAGACACCGGCTTTTCAATAAATCATAAAAATAGGCCCCCATGATTTATGGCGAATGCCAGCTGAGAGCCTGAGATTGCAGAATAACAGCGTGCTGGCAAAATGTTTCACTACTTGGGGATCAGTGTCTCATCCGAACATGATATTTAAGTCTTTTGTTTTGGAAGGGCGCCCATACTTATCGCCGAAACCAGGAACTGTCCTCGCACTACTGGGCAGGCACCGGTGGGAACGTTTTAAACTTACCACATACCGCGGCATGTTGGTACTAATTATCCTGCTGCGCAGTAACAAAACGTGAGCGCCCCCCTACTGGCACGGCTTGGTCCTAACACACACGCAGCTTTGATACCCACAGCGTTGGGAGTAAGCGGTGGGGCTGGTGTCGGTGAAAGCAGGGCTGGGTCGTCATCCTCCCACATTCATTGTGTTTCCGTGTCTTGCAGTGGTCCTTCGGTTCCTCCCAACTTCTAACACGGCATCCTGTTTAATCGAGGCTCGAACGCTCTCGACACTCCGCAAACAAAGAAGTTTTCGGGCCCACCGCCGCGAGAGGGTAAAGCGATGACCATTCCCTCTTGGAATGTCTTTTTCCTATATTTCGTGTTTTTATCGTTGATATCCCACATACATGGAGCGCCAGCGGCAGGACGGTTCACCATTAGTCGCTGGCCAAACGATACCTTTACGAAGACGAAATCCTTCCCCAGACCTTGACATACACCAGCGTGGCCAAATTGCGAAATTCCAGAGAGATGTAGTTCTTGCCAGATACTTCGGAGGAGGGCGACCTACGCGCCGGAGCTCAGGCGACAATCTGTAGGTGCAGGCGATTCTGAAGATTAGTACTGGTGCTGATAGGCGGCGCTCGCTATAGCCTTGTCAACCAAGCCTACGATTCTGGGTGCGTAACGTGAGGAACCATGTCTGACGCGCGTCTGTTGAGTGTCTCTTCACAGATATTATGGTACATTAGCCATCGGGTCGCCATCAGTGTCATTTGACGTGCTCCTCGACACGGGGTCATCGTAAGTGCTTCCGGGTTTCCGACCGCAATCGTCTGTACATGAATTCACGCTCACTTATAGCGATTTATGGGTGGCTGGAACCTCATGTGGCGCTGTGTGCAATGGCCTCCCATTGTACGACTCATCAGCTTCCTCAAGTTTCAAGAATACTTCTCAGTCATTCAAAATAACATATGGTCAAGGGGAAGCTTCTGGCTATGTTGCAACGGAGACCATCGAGATGGCAGGGTTCTCCGTTTTTAATCAAGGTTTTGGTGAGTTCATCCCATATCTATCACGCATCGACCTCTGGAGATTCATGTATCGGTACTAGCTGTCATAGATGAGATGTCTTCGGGATTCCTATCAGCACCAGCCTCCGGACTGCTCGGTCTTGCTTGGGAAACGCTTGCTTTGTCCCAGCAAATGCCATTCTGGCAGACTCTAGCTAGCAGTGGTACTTGGGACTCACCGTTATTTGCGGTACAATTTACCAGGTCGGTCGCCGTGGTTGCGTCGTACTGGGCGGCCGTTTGACTGTAAAATGTAGATATACCAACGATACCCAAGCACAGGCTCTAGAGCCCGGAGGAGTATTGAACTTGGGTAAACCCGACTCCTCACACTGGCCGTGGAATCCTTCCTGACACATACGAAGGTTATACCAACAGCAGCTTATACACTGGTTCGATAGAGTATATCGACATACCCTCTCAGCCCTCTTTCTGGTATATCACCCTGACATGTACGTCACCCCGTACCTCGTGTCTATCTTTTGCTCATGCAGAGGTTCACAGCGGTGACCGTACAGGGAGGTTCCGTCCCCCTGAGCACTAATGCCATAGCTGCCATCGATACAGGGACCAGCAATATAGGTGCTCCGTCAAGTGCCATGGAGGCTATCTACGCACAGATACCCGGTTCGAAGCCTGCCTCTGGTTCCTGGGCTGGGTACTACCAGTTCCGTATGTCGTATCTCCTTTTTTGATTTCGCTGCGAAAATCATTGAGATCTCGAATTCCACACAGCCTGTTCTACTTCTGTAAATGTCACGTTCTCTTTCGGCGGGTCGACGTGGGCCATGGCACCTGCCGATTTTTCATATGCCCAAGTCGGCGGCTCCCAGTGCATCGGGGCCTTTTTCGAAACCACGGGAAATAATCCATCCTGGATACTTGGAGATGCTTTCTTGGTAGGTCCATCGGTTCCCTTTCTGTGTTACCTGTCCGCTCATGTCCATCTCCCAGAAAAATGTGTATACAGTCTTCCGCTACAACCCGCCGGCGGTTGGATTTGCTGCGCTCTCGGACGTTGCATTGGGCGAGAACGGCTTAAATGGTGTCCCAGTGCCCAGCCCGACGATTGGTTCTGCAACGGCAGCAGTGACGGGGAATGCTGCCTCCGCTACGCTTCGATTTACTCCGGCTTTGATAGGAATGGGTGTCGCCTTCAGCCTCTTGCATATATCATTGGTGTAGAAAGCGTTAACGACCCTGGACGTATGTGGACGACAACTGGATGCTCTTTCTTTTAACCACGCCTTCATGGATACCTCTGCCTTCTGAACACGACTAGTTGACTATGTAATTACTACTTGGTGCGGGGACGGACGACATAAATGTGTACAGCACACTACCTCTGGGTTTGGACTTGACATACATATGTAACTAATTCTCGTGAGATATGGTCAACATTTGCTGTCCATGGTGAAGCAGTCCTGATGCAGGATACATAAGTTTATGATTGTGACGTCTGTCCTAATCGTCGAAGTCGTCCATAGATAATCCACCTCTCCCGAGTTGAACGACCTGCACCGCCTCTGCTAAGTCGATCTCCATCGCGTCACCATCGTCTAACGTTGCGTCCACGACTCCTATACTGGTCCTGACGTTCTCTCCAGGGAGCCGTTCTTGGTCCAAGAACCCAAGACAAGTCTGCATACATCCTCTCCATCGCAGTGGAACGGTGCCGCCAACGTTCACCCCAGCAATATACCTCTCCCATGTAAACCTCTCCGCCGCATGCCCAATGAACATTTTTGTCCAGTGTTTTGGATTCGCGCATCTGGCAATGCCCTGCTGGCTTGCCGAACGCTGACAACTGCCCATTGACAACGGGTCCATTGAGAAGCGCTTGCGGAGACGAATGATTCCTGGTACAGATTCTGTAAGGATGGAGTGGATGTGCGGAGGGATGTTCCACTGGTCAGACAAGGGCACGTCGTAATATTCAGTGATGACGGTCCTTGCGCCGGGCCCTTCACCCACAGAGGTGAGGAGCAAGCGGAGGCAAAGCTCTGTTAAAGGGGGGACGGCGTCGAGGAGGGTCACCACTGGTGAGACCGTAATCGCTGCAGGTGACGGTGAGTTATCGACAGAGTCCCCGCGCACCGATGCCAGCCGCATGATGGACCGGCGGGTACTGGGAATCCGGTGTCCCGCACCGGAATCGGTAAGTTTGAATGGTGACGAGGGCTCTGAGAGAAAGGGGTTCGGGTAGACTAAGAGTTTGTCTAAATTCATGTCGCGAATCTCCCATGGCAAGTATGTCAGCCTATTCAAGGAGATGTTGAGTTCCTTGAGGTTCTTGAGGCGACATATCTCTCCAGGTAGATACGTCAGCCGGTTGCCGCCTACACGAATGCCTCAGTGCTGTTCGACACGTAAACTGACTGTAAGACACATACGAAGACTCAACACGGAGAGATTTTGTAATGTGAATAGTTGGGGCGGCAGATAACTTATCTTGTTTCCGGAGAGGTAAAGTTGCAAGAGGTGTCTCTGTTTGCCAGAATCAACTATAGACTGCGTCCTCCCGAAAGAACGCGTCCTGGACGGTTCAGTGTTGACACGTGCCAGAGTACGTCCAGAAAACATCGTTTGCTCCGAGACCTCTGGCGTGTTGAAGAAGCCAGATAGATCACCGATAGACGAGGGAATACTTTTGAGTTGCTGACTGCTGCTCTGAAACTGTGAGATGGCTCAACGGACTAGAGGTTATAATGCCAGAGACCTGAGATCAACATATCCAATGCCGGTGTCGAACGGTCTGCGAAGGGCTTCGTCCCAGAGACGCTCTTCGCGGTCCAGATACTGCGACGTACGATGGGGCAGGGAATCGCAATCGCTAGTTACCACGAAATCGTCCTCAACGAGTGAACGCGAACCCGTTGCGACGCGGCCTAGACCAGATACACGTGAAAATGTGGATGGAGGTGTTTTGAGGGGTACCGTCTTCTTCTCATAGTCGGGGTGCCGTTTGACGGCTTTGGCGGAACCAGCAAAGGGATGCGAGAGTGGTGAGTTTAAGGGTGAAGGTGGGTCCAGTGGGTATTCGCCCATCCGGGGGCTCGAGGGTGGGGAGGAATCAACAGGGCCCAGTAGCGGTGAGGACAATGGCGACGCGTCCGTCGACGGTGAGGGCGTTCTGAACATGCTGGGCGACATTCCGTGTGTCGTGTGAGTCGCAATACACTCGCTGGTAATCAACGAAGGGGCTTTTTATTACATCCGGCTATCCGCTAATCTTCCGCGTGTAAGGGGTTTTCGACGTACATAAACACCCGCTACAGGGCTTAGGCATCCAACCGGGTTTGTTTCGGGTCCGTTGTGAAACAAATGCCATCAACACGAGTGCGTCTAATACCAGGCCAACTGACGGCGTTGAGAAATCACAGCGATACGCTTCTGGTTCACGCGGGGGAAAATATAGTGCGTGTTACTCAGTACATTCAACAATAGACAATCTTTGACAGAGCCTTTCAAGTCTCCGATTCTCATAGCGGTCGCTCTGGGAGCGTAGCGGAACTACTAGTATATCCGACAAGAGATACATAATCTTCAATTCGGAATCCTTTGGCACGTCATGCATCGAAAGTCATAATCAATCCGCAGACGTTGTACTGGTGCGAATCAGCTGTTTAGCTCTCGAGGATCGCGCCTTGATGGAACACGGGAATGCTTCTGGACGACTATGTGCAGTCCATTTCAGCACGCGACCTGCTATATTCCCATGTACGTACATGGTTATCCCGCCCACGAACTTGGGATGAATCTCTATCTCATTCCCGGAAACATCTGTTGCTTTCCCGATTTGCAAAGTCGCCAGCATAGATACAATCACTGCCCAGAGACTCTGCTCTGCGAGATATCTTCCAGGACAGAGACGGCTGGAGTATTTCATGTTAATCTCGCATTATTCCTACCCCACATCAAGCTCACCGTCCAAAGCCAAATACAGGAGACGAGGCGACGTCTTCGAGTTTGCTGCCGTACCGGTCCGGGTTAAAAACCTTTGGTTCAGTGTACCGCTCCGGATCCTGAGACATAGCCCTGCAAGAATGGTATTGATGAAGTGGAACTGCAGGTGAGCTCAACATACCACATATTCGGAATAATAATAGCGCCTGCGATGACGATAGATAAGGGAGCATGTCAAGCACGTCATGAAAGCAGCTTTCCTTTGGGGATATACAGGCCATTATAGTTGTCCTCTGCAGTTGTCATGTGTGGAACTCCTATAACGTCATCTTCAGCATTCATGGCCACCATAGATATCGTATTACACACCGAGTGGAACGACCGAGACCCATCGAAGTGTCTCTAACAGAATTGCCTCGACATAAGGAAGATTGGGCCGGTCACCGAAATCAGGGAGGCGATCGGTGCCAACTACCCGATCGATTTCTTCCTGTGCTTTTCGTTGCACATCCGGGTGCAACACCATTGCAAGCAGGAAAACTATGATTGTGGAGGTTGTCTGTCACTCGTTTTCAGGGAATACGTCAAAAGAACAGCATGATTGTTGCGCACAGGTTTCTGACCCGGCTTCGGACTAGGTGAGATATGTATGCAGAAATCGTAAAATGAAATTATCTCACCCATAAACGCAGTAGCGGCCACCTCTTTCGTGACCTTGTCCTTATCGAATCCAAGCTTCAAATCATCGTCCTTGTCCAGGTATATATCGTGAACCATGGATTTTCTCGCAGTGCCAGCGATCTTTCAAGTTCATGGTTCAAGTTAGACACCATATAATGGCCAAATCACTTACTATGCTGTCATGTACGTATTGAACTGGATCATTTAGTACTTTCCTCACAAGTCGCCGACAGTTACCAGCACGCTTTTTCCACTTGCCTCCAGGCATCCATGAGGGTATATGAGCCACTAGAATAGTATAAGCACCTGCATCGGCTGAAAATGAACAGCACACACGGAAGGGGAAGGCTCCGAGGAGTGCAGATCGCTCAGGAGTCACCACCTCTATTACCAACGAAAGCAATTGGACTAGGCTGGCCACGAAAGGGTCTCCCTGGGGAACTACGGAATAACCATAGGCAAGTTCCATAATCAATGCGACTGGAAACCTGTGACATTTACTCAGTTAGAGATTCCTTGTGGGCATTGTTCGATCATCTACATCACAAAATGGTTCCTCAAAGTCTTGTGGTGTCGTGAGCAAGTTCATAAGGAGTCCGTGCGCCCTTTGTAACTGCATCGTTGCGTATTTCAGAGCTTCTTTCTTGTTTAAGACCAAATGGAGCGCCCTTCGATGCTTCCTCCACTCTTCACCGTAGGGCAAAGTTGGTGTAACAAAACCCAGATCGAACCTTACAAATGGTGAGTTTTCTTTGCTCTAGCAGACACGACACGCTTACAATTCGATGGATGGTACACGAGCTCGATCAGAATATATTGAAGAGCGTTGGTCCAACAGCTCATGGGCAACTTTCTCACTATTGACGATGATGTACTCCTTTCCAAGTACTTGGGAGTAGGTGAGGTCACCTAGTAGTATGCATAGTGACAAACTGTGCAATCCTTTCGAGCTACTCCACTTACCATAGCGATTTCCCCACTCTTGGTATGTGACCCATGGCTGAGACACATCTATATCGAAAACATTTCCAACCCACGGTAGGCCGTTGGGACCAGGCGGTAGGAGGCTACGGTACTTGGCTCGCCGTGATCTGCTCTTCCAAAGCGAGATAAAAAGGGCCCCAGAAAGCAGTAGGGCAACGGAGATGGCGGTCGCCGAGGTATGCATCGTTCAGGAGCAGCCAGTAACCTGCACCCGGTCCCATCAAGCTTGACTTATAAGTTCGGACACCGTGTGATAATGCAAGACTTAAGGCAATACATCATCTTGCTGTTTGTGGGCAAGTTCAAAATTAGCAGGAACCCATCAGTAAAACCTACATACTAGGTAGTCGTACAACGACTCAACTGCTCGTCAAGCGTAGTACATCGGTCCCAATGATGGGCCGCGAGAGGCTCACCACTGTTCACCACAGAATTGTGTGCGAACGTAATCTCGCTGTGTTTCAGATGGCCGCTCGAATGCTCTAACTCTGTTTTATACATTTGGTTGTTGTCAGCTCTAACCATAGCCATAGAAGAGAATAAGCAAAGACGTACATCTTACAACAAGGTAGACTCCACGACAAACGATCACGGGTGGTGTGTGGACGAGTTTTGTTCAAGTGAGCTTCAGTGAAGAGTGTATTCCTTGGACCCAACGGAAAAAGTAAAAGGCACATTCACTAATTTGCATTGATCCAACAAGTAAGCCCCGGAAGCTAAAAAATTGAATGGCAAGGGCATACTCGGGGTGATCAAAGTCCGAAGCCTGTGCCATGGGCTGCCTCCCATTCATGTGTTAGCAATAGCTGTGAATGGGATGGAGTCAGCTGACCACTCTTGACAGGTCGTACAAAGTAGTACTAGAATGCACGAACTTCCACAAAGCGGTGGCCAAATATGCAAAACAGTTCCCATGGATGCAACACAAAAAGAGCCAACCATGAGCTAACCTCTGGCCGCCGGCTGCGGCGCGAATTTGCTTGGTGTACAAGTCGTCCGTGCCACCGTCCCGATCGGTACTCGCGCGAATCAGCTGTGCGGCCTTTACAGATCGCACAATTATAGAACATGGGAACGGCTACAATTTCATGATTAGTCAGCATTGGCGCGGTGATGCTGATATTGAAGATTCTTGCATGTACAGACCAGCCCCAGTCTCAAACTCGAGATGACCTTCGACCCATTCCCACATGCGTCCTCGGGTTTCCCAAATTGTAAGGTCGCTAGCGTCGACGCGGTCGTTGCCCAGAAACTCTGCCTAGTGAGAAATCCATGGCTCTGGATAGAATGTCGTCTGAAGGTCAAGGCAGGGTTTACTCAACCTGGTTACCAAACATTAGGAAGCCTAAAATAATAAGTTTTCAATGCTCGCTGAGAAAGAGCTGGGTAGGGGCCTGCCTTTCGGGATGTATGTTCCCTTGTACACGTTGTCTGTCGTCGTCATATGCGGAAGCTTTGTAAAAGGTATGGTCAGGCACTCTAGCTGGCGTCCTAATTAAACAAATAGCAAGCGAAACGACCGTCATGTGGTCTCCAATACAACTGCCTCCAGGAAGGGAAGATTAGGTCGGTCACCAGAGTGAGGAAGGTGGTCAGCGCCCACGACACAGTCAATTTCTTCTTGTGCTTTCTGCTGTACGTCTGGGCGCAGCACTATTGCTAACAGGAACAACAGGAACATAAGTCAACGGGTCGTATACCTCAAGTTCCTACTCATATATTCCACTCCAGCCTATGGCCGTGTGAGCTATAAATTGAAGCGAACAACACTGAACCGTGAACTTACCTAGTAGAAACAGGGTACCAGCTACGTCCTTGATGGTCATTTCTTTATCGAAAGCGACATCAAAGCTATCTCCCCCATCTCATGCATATCTTACACTATGCAAATCCCCGCAGTACCCGCTTTCTCCACTCTTGGTGTGTCAGCCATGGTTCTGCCACGTTTACACTGAGGACACTCCAGAGTCAAGGTAAACCCTCCGGACCTGGCAGGAAGGGCAATCCTGTGGGTGCCGTCCACGCGCGAATCCTCTGAACCGCGAGAACGCAAGCACTGAAGCACAGAACCACGGCTGCGGGAAGGGTAGTCGTCGAGGCATCCATGGCAGCCACTGCCACGCGACGGCCCATGAAATCTTTGACTATTCATCAGAGGCGCAGTATGGTAACCATGTTGCATTACGTCAAAGTCTCAAAGTCCTTGCAAGCGTGGGTGAGGGCAGGTGAAGCTCTCGCCGCTCGACACCAGAAGAGCTTGATTTAGGTTCAATTGTCTCTTGACCAAGCCAGTGGACCGTATTCGGCGGGCAAATACAAGGTAAAGGCCACGCCCCAGCAGAACCGAATGATGCGTACCTAGTCGTGAACCCTTCATAGGTTTTTTTTTGGCTGTAATGTAACAGAAAAGTGGGAAGTGTACAGAAAGATCCCTACCCCACTCGGATTATGGTCCTTTGTAGGAAGTGAACTAAATACTGTCCATCGGTGGTGCCAGATGCGACAAAGCTGCATCAAGAGATCAAGACTGTTAAAGTGACGAAAGTAAGGCGGAGCGAATCTGACTGAAGATGGTCGCACATTGGCAGTACATCAGAGAAACGGGGAATGACAGAATCGCGGTCACGACCAGTCAGTGACAGGTTTAAACAGGTTTAAACCATTTTTTCGCTTCCTGATGTGCGCCAACCCCGGATGACGAGTATGTACTGAGGTGGCGCGAAGTGATACAGAACGATGCTCCCGTAGAGGAGCCCTTGGAAATGAGTGTCGCGTTAAATGTTCTTCCGAAATCGCATATGTGTTGCTCAGATGCTTAACTTCGAAGTTACAGTTGACGTCGAAGAGTTCCCACTGAGCATGCTGCACGTCATCGAGGACTCCCATGTTTGCAACACCTCATTGTTCAAAGGAACGTCTCATTTCCTATGGATTGCCTTGGACGATTCAATTGGGCTAGAATGAATACCGAATCAGTACATCCGACAGCAGATACATAATCTTCAGTAAGTCCTTTGGCACACGATGCATCGAAAGTTATGATCAATCCGCACACGCTGTACTGGCGCGGATCAGATGTGTAGCTCTCGAAGACCGGGCCTTGATGGAACACGGGAATGCTTCTGGGCGACTATATGCAGTCCATTTCAGCGAGCTATGATCCACGCCTGCTATATTCCCATGTACGTACATGGTTGCCCCACCCTTGAATTTCGGTTGAATCTCTATCTCGGCTCCGGAAGCATCCGTTGCTTTCTCAATTTGCAAAGTCGCCAGCATAGACACAATCACTGCCCAGAGACTTTGCTCTGCGAGATGTCTCCCAGGACAGACACGGCTGCGTTGTTTCATGTTAATCTCGCATCGTTCCTACTGCACGTCAGGCTCACCGTCCAAAGCCAAATACAGGGGACGAGGAAACGTCTTCGACTTTGCTGCTGTACCGGTCCGGGTTAAAAACCTTTGGTTCAGTGTACCGCTCCGGATCCTGAGACATAGCCCTGCAAAAATGGTATTGATGAAGTGGAGCTGCGGGTGAGCTCAACATACCACATATTCGGAATAATAATAGCGCCTGCGATGATGATAAATAAGGGAGTATGTCAAGCACGTCATGATGGCAGCTTTCCTTTGGGGATAAACATGTCATTATAAGTGTCATCCGCAGTTGTCATGTGTGGAAGTCCTGGAAAGTCACCTTCAGGATTCATGGCCACCGTACATATTACATTACACACCGAGTGGAGCGACAGGGACCCATCGAAGCGTCTCTAACAAAACTGCTTCGACATAAGGAAGATTGGGCCGGTCACCGAAATCAGGGAGGCGATCGGTACCAACTACCCGATCGATTTCTTCCTGTGCTTTTCGTTGCACATCCGGGTGCAATACCATTGCAAGTAGGAAGACTAACATTACGGAGGTTGTCTGTCACTCGTTTTCAGGGAATATGCCAAAAAGACAGCATAATCGTAGCGCACAGTTTCTGACCCAGCTTTAAAATAGATGAGATATGTATGCAGAAATCGTAAAACGAGATTATCATTATCTCACCCATAAACGCAGTAGCGGCCACCTCTTTCGTGACCTTGTCCTTATCGATTCCAAGCTTCAAATCATCGTCCTTGTCCAGGTATATATCGTGAACCACAGATTTTCTCGCAGTGCCAGCGATCTTTCAAGTTCGTGATCCAAAATAGACACCATATAATGGCCAAATCACTTACTATGCTGTCATGTACGTATTGAACTGGATCATTTAGTACTTTCCTCACAAGTCGCCGACAGTAACCAGCACGCTTTTTCCAGTTGCCTCCAGGCATCCATGAGGGTATATGAGCCACTAGAATAGCGTAAACACCTGTATCTGCTGAAAGTGAACGGCACACACGGAAGGGGAAGGCTCCGAGGAGTGCAGATCGCTCAGGAGTCACCACCTCCACTACCAACGAAAGCAATTGGACTAGGCTGGCCACGAAAGGGTCCCCCTGGGGAACTACGGAATAACCATAGGCAAGTTCCATAATCAATGCGACTGGAAACCTGTGACATTTACTCAGTTAAGATTCCTGTGGGCATTGTCGATCATCTACATCACAAAATGGTTCTCATAGTCTTGTGGTGTCGTGAGCAAGTTCATAAGGAGTCCGTGCACCCCTTGCAACTGCATCGTTGCGTATTTCAGAGCTTCTTTCTTGTTTAAGACCAAATGGAGCGCCCTTCGGTGCTGCCTCCACTCTTCACCATATGGCAAAGTTGGTGTGGCAAAACCCAGATCAAACCTTACAAACGGTGAGTTTTCTTTGCCCTAGCAGATAAAACGCGCTTACAATTCGACGGAAGGCATATGGGGTCGATCAGAATATATTGAAGATCGTTGGTCCAAGAGCTCATGGGCAACTTTCTCACTATTGACGATGATGTACTCCTTTCCAAGTACTTGGGAGTAGGTGAGGTCACCTAGTATGCAGAGTGACAAACTGTGCAATCTTTTGGAGCTACTCCTCTCACCATAGCGATTTCCCCATTCTTGATATGTGACCCATGGCTGAGACACATCTATATCGAAAACATTCCCAACCCACGGTAGGCCGCATAGGCCGCTGGGGCCAGGGGGTAGGAAGTTACGGTTGGCTCGTCGTGCCCGACCCTTCCAAAGTGTGAACAAAAGGGCCCCGGAACACAGTAGGGAAATGGAGATGACAGTCGTTGAGGTATGCATCGTTCAGGTGCAACCTCTGACCTACACCAGGGTTTACTTATAAGTTGGGATACCGTGTGACGATGCAAGATTTGAGGTAATACCCAACACATCATGTCGCTGTTTGTGGGCAAGTCAATATGCAGGTCCGTCAGTGAAACCTACACACTACGTAAGCGTTCGACCACTCGAGTGCTCGTCAAGTACAGTAGGTTTCACTGATACACCAACCACAGAGAGGTTCCTCACCGTTCGCCACAGAAATGGATGCGGACGTAATTTCACTGTGTCAGATGGGCCACCCGAATGCCCTAGCTCGGTTTCATGCGAACGTAATTTCACTGTCTCAGATGGGCCACCTGAACGCCCTGGCCTGGTTGTATGCATTCAGTTGGTGTCAGGTCCAACTATAGCCATAAGAGAAGATAAGAAAAAACGTCCATTTAAGTTCAACAAGGTCGACTTCTTGGCAAACGATCATGGGTGTTTTGTAGACTCACGGGTTTCGTTCAAGTCAGACTGAACTTCACTGAAGCATGTAATCCTTGGACCTAATGGCAAAAGTAAAAAGGACTCGTTTTCTGAGCTTTGATATCTTGAGACTCTGCATTGATTCAGTAAGTAAGCACCGGAAGCTGCAAAATCGAACGGCCGGTGGTGTAAGGAGGCTTGGGGACAGGAGTGAGGACACAGCCACATGGTGCTTAGTACATGCAGATGTACAGTTAGGTGACAAGTACTATGCTATTGCTTGCGTCGAGCTCAGCTCACCGCTCGTGAGGCTCCCCACTGTGCCACCGGGGCGTACTGAGGGTCAAAGTTTGTAGCCAGTGCTGCGGACTGCCTCCCATTCATATGTTAACAAGGATGCAGTTGGCTAACTACTCATGACAGGTTGTACAAAATAGTACTAGAATGCACGAATGCAACGCAAAACAAGCCCAAAGGCATGTGCTAACCTCCGCGCACTAGCTGCGGCGCAGTGTACGTTTTCTTGGTTCACACGTCACCATCGCCACCGTCCCAATCGGTACTCGCGCGAATCAGCTGTGCGGCCCTTATAGATCGCACTTCTATAGAACATGGAAACGGCTTCGGACAACTAGCATTTCGCAAATGATCAGCATTAGCGTAGTGATGCTGGTCGAGCATCCTCGAACGTACACGCCAGCCCCAGTCTTAAATTCGGGATGAACCTCGATGTCATTCCCACATGCGTCCTTGGGTTTCCCAACCTGCAAGGTCGCTAGCATCGACACAATCGTTGCCCAGAGACTCTGCTCAGCAAGATGTCTCCCAGCACAAGTACGGCTATATCATGATGTCTCAACTGGGGCTCTGACTTGATTTTATCTCGACTCACCGGCCAAAACCGAATGCAGGACATGCGGTCACATCCACGAGTTTCCCAGCTGGAGGAAGGTACCGATCCGGGTTGAAACTATTTGCTTCGAGAAAACGCCCTTCATCATGAGTCATGGTCCTAGGCAGAATGTCGTTGGAAGGACAAGGTAAGATTTACCTAACCTGCTTACCAGACATTAGGAATTACAGTGGCTCCTAAAATAATAAGTTTTCAACACCAGCTGAGAAAGAGCTGAGTTGCCACCTGCCTTTCGGGATGTACATTCCCTTGTACACATCGTCTGTCGTTGTCATATGCGGAAGCCCTGCACCGGGCATACTCAGGCATTCAACCTCGCTTGCTGATCAACAAACCACCTACCGAGCGGAACAACAGGCCGCCATCGCATGGTCTCTAACATGACTGCCTCTACGTAAGGAAGTTTAGGTCGGTCGTCAAAGTCAGGAAGGCGGTCGGCGCCCACGACACGGTCAATTTCTTCTTGTGCTTTCTTCTGTACGTCTGGGTATAGCACCATTGCTAGCAGAAACATCAGGGCTATCGAGTACATCTGTAAGGTTGCTTAAAACACAAGTCAACGCGTCGTATGCTTCTCACTCACGGATTCTACTCCAGCTTGGGGAGGCGTGAGCTATAAATTCGAGCAAACAACACCGAACCGTAAACTTACTTAGAAACAGGGTGCCAGCCACGTGTTTGATGATCGTTTCTTTACCGAAAGTGACATCAAAACTATCGTCCCCCATTTCGTACATATCTTGCACTATGGAAGTCCTCGCAGTACCAGCCGCCTAGGAAAAAATCTATGTGAGTAATGCTTCTCATGTAAGAGCGATGCAAACGAGCGAGTTTCTGACCATTCTGTCTCGCACGTATTGAACTGGATCGTCCAGTACGTTTCTGACTAGTCCTTGGCACTCTCTTGCCCGTCTTTTCCAACCACCCCCAGGCATCCACGGCGGAATATGAGCCACTAAAATGGCTTGAGCTGTCTTGCCTTCGACGAATCGATGAACTGCACATACGAAACGGGAAACTGCTTAACAGCGCAGTTCGCTCTGGGGTCATCACCTCTACAACCAGGTTGAGCAGCCGAGTGACCTTTGCTACGAAAGGATCGTTCCGAGGAGCTACAGCGTAACCATAACCAATATCCATGATTATCGCGGACGCTAACCTAAGGGCTTCGATTCAGCAAAAGTGTCGTTATAGCAAAAGAGTCAAGACGCTACGTTTCAAGGTGTCCTCTATAACCCTGCGGCGTCGTGACCAGGCGCACCAAAAGTTCGTGCGCCCTACGCAATTGCATCGGCGCATATTTCCTGGATTGTTCCTTGTTCAACGCCAACTGGTACATTTTTCGGTGGAGTCTCCATTCGTCACCATATGGCATGAGCAATGTCATGTAGCGTACCCCCAAACTAAATATAGAGATAGCTGAAATCTCCAACTCAATGCATCGACCGATGCACTTACAGTTCAGCTGATGGCATGTGCGGTCGATCAGAGTATATAGCAGATCGCTGGTCCAAGAGTTCACGGGCGACCGTCTCGCTATTGATGATGACGTAGTCTCCACCTAGTATCTTGGCGTAGACAATATCACCTGCAAAAGATAAGCTGTCCCTGATCGTAGCAGTAATCGGTGTTGGTACCGTATTGCTTTCCCCACTCTTGGTACGTCAGCCATGGCTCTACCATGTTTATGCTGAGGACACTCCCGAGCCAGGGTAAACCCTTCGGACCTGGCGGGAGGGGCAATCCCGCGGGTGCTTTCCGAGCTCGAATCCTCTGTACCGCGAGAACGCAGGCACCGAGGCACAGAACTACGGCTGTGGAGAGGGAAGTCTTCGAGGCATCCATGGCGGCGATTATCACCCGACAGCCCGCAAGCTCTTTGGTTTATATTCATCAGAGGCGCCAGGGACGCCGAATAATAAGCATGTTGAGTTACGTCAAAATTCTTGTGAGCGTGGGTGAAGCCCTCGCCTCTCCATGCCAGAGGAACTTGATTTAGGTTCAGTTGTCCCCTCACCGAGCCGGTAGACCGCAATTGACAGGGCGAATACAAGGTAAATGTGGCAACCGCGCCCCCCGTGGTGCTTGAGCGTGACGAAGATTAAGGCAGGAGGTATTCCCGCATTGGCGGTAGGCCAGCCCCCGATGACGAGCGTACACTGAGCATCTAAGACGGCGAGGGATGATACGAAGCGACCCTCGCATAGACGGGGTCCTTGGAACTTTTGAGTGCTAAATGCCCTTCCGCAAGTCGCGTGTTACCCGGATGCTCAACACTGCAACTTTGAAGCAAGCCACAGTTGACATTGAAGAGCTTCCACTTGGGCACGCTCATGATCAGTGGCATCAAGTCAAACCTCAGATCTGGACCTAACGTGTGCAATACCTCATTTAAAGGAGCATCTCATTTCGTATGGACCGTCTTGAACAATTTGGTCGGGTTAGAATGAACGATAAGTCAAGTCACGCCTACTAAGCCTTCTGCTGTAGGCTTGGGATTGGTATGTATAAAGAGGCTTCAGGTTGATAAATTGATGTTCACTCCTGGGGCATCGCAGTCGTCGCCGACAAGGAGCTCAAAAAACGTATATGGGCGCTTAGGTGAAGGAACGTCACCTTCGGGTCCCTTTCGTAACTGAACGTGGTACTGTACATACATGGTCGACTTTCGACAGTTGGCGTGCTCACTCCTCGGCTCTTTGCCCTTCCGACTATCACCGCCAGGGTGCAACTACGGCTTCCAACAAGGTGCCTCGAAGTCAGTTGCTATTGTTGGAGCAGGGAGCGGCGGACTGGCTATGCTGAAAAACCTGTTGGATCTACCGCTCGAGATTCGCGAGGACTGGGATATAGTCCTCTACGAGCGACGCAGGGACGTCGGGGGAATATGGTGCGGTCTATTTTGCTACTCGTTATGCCCCCACACAAAACTCAATCCATTGGGTGCTGGATGGCAGGCTGCCAGATCCGTCACCCCCTCCTCCGCCAAAGCTACCCGAAACACCACTGTATCCTCTGCTACACGCTAATAGTCCTGTTCCCATCATGACTTACCCCCGCTTTCCGTTCCCGCCTGGCACCCCTCTTTTTACCACACACGAATACATAGAACGCTATCACCAGGATTATGCAACCCGTTATGACCACTGGCCGTATATCAAGTTAAACCACACTGTGCTGTCATCGTCATGGGTAGGAACACCCCGTGCAGGGCATTGGGAGGTCGTCGTTGAGGACCATAGTGGTGACCGGATACAAAGATCATTTGATCATCTCGTCGTTGCGGTTGGGATTAACCTTCAGCCACATATAGCGGTATTCCCTGGACAAGAAGCGTGGTTAGAGAACACCAAGGGTGGACTGCAGCGCGAAATCCTGCATTCGATGTGGTACCGTGATCCTGGTGGGTATGTCAACCAGACCGTTGTAGTAGTGGGTGGAGGACCAAGTGGGGTCGACATCTCGTCTCAAATTTCCAACTACGCCTGCAAAGTGAGTGTCAACCATTCGCGACGGACCTCGGTTGATACCTGAGTTAACATTCATTTTCCTTGCTAAAGGTTTATCTTTCCGTTCGCAGTCCGCCATGGAGAGTGCCAACGGGATCTGTGGAAATAAAGTCTGAGATTTCACATTTCACGTCAGATGATATTGTCTTCAAGGGCGGGTCTACAGTGTCGGGCGTTAATACGGTCATATTGGGTACAGGCTATGATCTACGCGTGCCCTTCCTAGAAGAGGGCGGAGAAGTGATCGTGAAACCAGGGTCTAACGAGACGGACGGACGAAGGCTTACCAACAACTTGCGTTATCTGTTCCCACTCCATGAACATATATTTTCCCTGTCGGCGTCTTACCCAACGAACGCACTAGCTTTCATCGGCCTCCCGAAAATGGCCTTCAGTCGTCCCTCGGATACTGCACAGAGTATCTACGTGACCTCGATCATTGCCAATGGCAGCCTGCTCGCACCCCGCGCTGAATTGCTGCGCGAGCTTGCAGACAACGAGGAAGACCTTCGGAGGAGAGGATATGATCCATATTACATCGGACACACTATGCTCAACGGTTCCACATTCGATTATCAAGACAACCTCATTGACACCCTGCGATCAAAGGGGGCATTGCCGGAATGGAATAATAGTTTCGCCGAGCCCTGGAGAAGAGAAAGCGCTGTTTACTACGCGAAGGGTACTCTAAAGCGCGGGTGGACGAGGTTGGAAGCACTTGGACTAGCAGAGGAATGGTTAGAAGGGGTTGAGAGTGAGGATGAGTGGGCTGATCTTTTGAGACGAGTGAATGCGTGGCAGACAGATTGGGAAACGTCACACCAATTGGTATTTCCAGATGACGCGCTCATATATTGATGAATGATATGACATTCTACCTTTTAGTATCTGATTAAAGATGATAAAAGTGTGATGGGCGTGTTTAAGAGTGAAGATGAGTGGGTTGATCTTGTGAGATGGGTAAATGCATAGCACAGATGTGACATGCTCCAAAGTAGATATGCTTCATTGATGTTCGATCAATAAAGTCATCATTATAGTCATGGCAGTAGGGTGAGCTGACACAAGGTGCAGACATTGATGATGAAAGAAAATCAATACATCTTCAAAATGTACCCAAAGCTACCTTCATGAATAGTAAAATACACAAAACTCAAATCAATCCACATACCTCAATCCAACTTTCAGGGGGTTGGTCTACCTTCCAGCAAGATTAGCAGATACCACTTTCAGGGACTGGGTGAAACTACCAGTACTGTCAGCTGATACCACCTTCAGCCCCACCTTCACATGTCAGCCTACCCACCCTCAGGGCCCAGCAACCAATGTCAGTTAGTCCTACTTTCAGGACTACAGGTGACTGAAGAGTCTACACTGCTGGGGTGGGGTCTGTTAGATGCATTGTTCCTGCTACAAAAACTATATCTAACAGACCACCATCCCTCCAAAAAACAGCTGCCAAGGGTGGTGCACAGCATTATGTAATCTAAATGTGGACACTTGAGCATTTATTTTTTTCTCACTGCACCTCAACTCCAACCAACTTGAAGTCTGTAGAAATATCTGTAGGCTATCTCAGTAGGTGTGAAACTACTGAGTGTATTACTGTACCTGTAGGCTACTACAGGATGTCAGTATGTAGAATACTAGCCAAGTAAATGAGTGCTTACCCTCAGTAGGTGTGAAACTACTGAGGGGATAGTGAAGGGAATGTATCACTATGTATGCTCTAAGGAAGGCTAGGGCGACCTCGAATGCTGTCTGGGACACGCAGGATTCATACAGAGTCTTCAGTCTGATCAGTCCCATCACGAGATGTGCGATACGTATGGTAAGATACGATGTGTACTGTGCAAGAACAGCTCTTGCTCACACGATAATTGCCAGATGAATGTGAACTTCATCTATATACTTCCAAGTAACCTCCACTCACAGCAGACACATGAACTTAGGGCAGGCAGGAGTTGGCGCGTTGGACATATCCGTGGTTTTAGATTCATGTAGCGAGAGTGATTTCGTTTAGTGCCTCTGAACTTCGTGCAGTGAACCTTGGCAAAAGGAAGAAAATAATACATCGTCAAAATGCACGGGACACTACCTGCGTGAATAGTAACATAAACAAAACAATCCACACACGATAATCTAAGAGTCACTTGCTGGGCGGTCGTACTAATGCGGGAGCCTGCTGCCCAGCCTGGGCCTGCCCCGATGGTCCACCACCAACATCTCCTGGAATGTTTGCCGTGGCCGCGGACGCGGACGCACTGGTCGCGCTATTGAACATCGCCTTCAACGCCAACTCGTTCCTCTTCTGCCTCACTCTCTCCGCTTCCTCAGTGCCTCCGGTCATCTTTAGCTTCTTCCCACTCACGAAACCGGTTAGCTCGTTTTGGAATGCATCAGATCGACTCGCTAGCTCTCGTTCGCGGTTCTTCTGATTCGCCGCGATAGCCTTCAGTCGCTTCTCCGGATCCACCGCAGCGCCTCGGATCTCCATCATTACCGTGCTTATTCCACCGTGACCCTCATCCGCCGGGAGAGCCTTAAACCGTCCACGAGCCGAGCGATTAGGAGTATTGCCCCTGAGATTGACCACCTTTTGGACATGATCAACGACGTCAGCAAGGGCTTTGTGGTCTTCTAGTAAATCGGCCAATAGCTCTTCCTGGTGACTGAGGAAACCTTGCTCTTCCACGATGTTCTGTAGTTCTTCCTCCCAGGTCTTCTTCCACATCGGCTTGATGGTATCCATGTGATCCTTCAAACTCGACAACTCCGCGGCTGTAGAAGCAACGTCTTCTTGGATGGTCTTCAACAACTGTGGTTTGGGTGTGACCTGGCGCTTTATCACATCGTCCTTCAGACTCTCCACGGTATCCTGCAACTCCTCCACCTTCGTCAGCACATTTTGACTGCGCGTGTCGAGTTTACTCTTGCCACTATCGATGAAACTGCGTGCACCGCCAACTTTGGCACTTGCAAGTTGCTTGACGGACTGCGTCTGGGTGCGCAACGCATTGAGAGACTCCTTTGTCGACTTCATAAACTCGGTATACAGCTGTCTCATGATCCCCAGATCACGTCGCAGATTCTGCACCTCGTCAAACTGCGTCTTTAGATCGTTTACGACACGATTAGAGTATTCCGACATCACCGATGCGCCAGTCATTTGCGGCTGCAACTGAAGTGATTGTCCCGTCATCTCGGGTTGAATGAATGGACTTTGGGAGTCCCCAACAATACGGGATAACCGTCGTGCGATGTGCTGGAATTGCTTGTCCGTTGGGCGGTCTGCAATTGGGGTGCTTTCCACGAACTCGTGTGCCACTATAGGACTCGGGTGGTGCGACAGCCGGCGATTTTGTGTAATTGCTGACTTAAGTTCTTTGAGGTCAGTTGACAGAGTGGATATCTGCGCATCGATGTGCTGCTTTATTTGGTCAAGTGCTGAACCTGCGAGTGAGCGAGGCGCCAAGAACGTAAAAAGAGCCGTCGACTCACGTTCAATGTTTAGCGATAATAAGCACTTTTCCTTGACTTCTTCCATGTCCTCAAGCTCATACTGAACACCACTCGAGGGATCACGAATGTAGATAGCAGGGAAATTCTCCATGCCTGGATTGTACGAGAACTTGTCGACGAAGAGCATACGCAGCGATGAAACCGACGTCCCAGGCTCAAACGTAGCCTTCTTCACCTCACGACCAACCTGGAGGAACACCGGGAATGACACTGACAGAGATAAATCGGGTACCTCCACCTCCTCCGACAATTTACTCTTATTCGACAGAGTCTGGGACAGCGACGGCGCTCGAACCATACCTGTAGGGAAGGGAAGTGGGGGGACGGGCGGCGCAGGTTCTTTACTTGCAGGCGAAGGTGTGCGCATTCTCTTGGACGAGCCAGCCGGTGACTTCGGATCAGGTTCGTCTACTTCTGTGAGTACTGCCAGTTCACCAGGAGTCAAGTTCGAGGAAACAGCCATCGAACGTCGACTCGGAGAATTGGATATCGTCCGTTCCCGCGTCAAAACGTTCCCTGCCATTCTGCTGAATTGGTAGGTAGAGAAGCGCTTAGAAGCCCGGCGTTCGAGGACATCGCGGTTCCTCAACGCAGCGAGAGAACTGGCTACTCCAGGTGCATCCGCCTCCACAGATGGCGTCTTGGGTGAGGAAGGTGAGGACTCGCCAGTGTGGGTGTCTTCCGCAACTGAAGAAGGTTCTACAATGACAGTGGGAGTGGATGCAGCTGGGGGGGAGACTGGCCTATCCACAAGAGAATATCTCTTAACGGATGAGGGGACAGGGGAAAACTGTGGCGGTGGTGTGGGGGGCACATCCTTTTCCAGATTAGGAGGTTGGGCAGATGGTGGTGGTGTGTGTGCCTGTGAGGCGATGAGTGTTTCCGTCGATGCACGTGTCGAAATGTCATCTTGGGGCGCATATACAGCGTTCTGGGGCGTTGGCTGAGAATGTCGTGGCTGTGAAGACTGAGGGGTGCGCGCGCGAAGCCCGTTCGTAGTAGTAGACGCGGGCCGCTCGTTGACTGGAGGATCATCGTCGGGCTCTTCGAATGGTGGAGGTGTCATCCGTGACTGTGCTTCGGGTCGTTTGCTGGAAGGCCTTGCGGATGTGCGTACAGCAGTACTGTCCCTGTTTGCCTCCACATTCTTCTCTTCTTCATTGCTACGGGACAACTGCGACCGGTGCCTCGTGACTTCCTCATCTCGTTTAGAAGAAGAGACCTTGTCCTTGGTCGATTTGGAGGACCGGCTATCGGTGCGGGCATGGGACGCACTCCGGTGCCGACTCTGGTGCTCCGAAACTATCCGCCGGTACATGGACTGCTTGTTCCGAAGTCCATGCAACAGGTTCGTAATGATCTGGCGCACCTTTGGAAGGTAGATATTCAGGGTGTCTGGGGAAGCGTCTTCGGAGAGACACGTTTCGAGGACCTCTCGTAGGTCTTCGGGTACGGACATGAGGTCGCTGAAAGGTAATAGGAATACATATAAGTCATTTGCAACGTGGCCTCCTGCGGGTAAACAAGGGATACGGTACGCACGACATGTCGATATTGAATGAGGCAAACGCAGCCACTGCTGCGTTGAAGTCATTGCCCAGACGCACGTATACGTCGCTAATCTGGGACTCGGACATTTGAAGGTTGCTCCATAGTGTGAGTGATTCCAGAAGCTGCTTTATGGCCACAAGAAGACGTGTGACCGCAGACTCGACGGTGGGCTGTATGGATATGAGCGTTTCCCGGGCGTTCGCAAGAAAGTGTCGGGGTACCTACATGAGAATGAGAGCGGCCACTGCGAGACGAGGTGGATGAGACAGAGTGGTTGTCCCGCTTTGGCTTGTGTCCGTCGTACGATGGTGGGGGTTGTGTCGATGCCATTCCAGTTGCTGCCAGTTGGTCAAGCTAATAGCTATCACAGCGAGTTGAGGGCTCCGACTTGCCTGCAAGCAGATCCCCGCACGCACGCGTATCACATGGGAAAGCATTGCTAAATTAGGCAACAACAAACTATCTACTTCCATTGCGAATTATACGGAGCAGCCCCCTGGCCAGCGAGAATGTAGTCATTCAGAATCTCGTCGTGCTCGCTCCGCTTGTACGTCCGAATGGTCTCCCCGTAATCCGAAATCTCATATACACGGAACCTCCGATCGAACCTGCAGGTCATCATTTAATACTGCTTTTGCGTTCACATGACAGTTCGACTTACCCAACCCTGCCATACCCAGAGTACGAACTGGAAAACAGCCTAGTCAGAGCGGCAGCAAGTACATGCACACATTTAACACTCACCCTCCACCACCAAAACATAACCAGACATCCTTGATTCTCTTACAATCCTCGATGACTAGCGCAGGTCTCAGTCACCGCTTACCACCCTAAATCCGCACGGAAACTTACCGTGACAATGTCCGTTTGCAACAGCCTTGACCTCAGGAATAGCAGCACCAGAACGGTGATCCGTCTCCAACGCAGCTAACAAACCCTTCTCGAACATACCATCACTCTTCTTGGCAGCGCCAGAGCCCTCCAGGGATGTACCAATATCAAGTGGGAGTCCTGTACGCTGATCTATATCTGGCGTCCCATACGACTCTTGTCTGGCAACCACAGTCGGTGCAAATCAACAATTGAGATTTCATGAGACGTACAGCGGGATATGGAAAAACATCAACGCGTTGGGCTTGGCAAGCTTCCGAGTCGTCGGTGGAAGTTGATCTGATTGCCTTCGCCAGATGTCTCCGAGATCCGAAGTAGTCTGAGGAGTGTATGGGCGTTCGATAGGATATATCAGTGCCGATTCGCCTAGGAACCAGTCAATTTGGTCCTACAATCAACGTATTAGCAAAAACGTAGCAAAGGTAAAGATAAAACCTGCTTGGTGAATCCAGTCGTATTCGGTCGGGAAGAAATACCCAAACCAATCAAAGTAACCTTGAGAGTACGCCCCCGAGTCGATAAAGTAGAGAGTGAGTAGATGCGTTGCCGAACTGACCTTTTTCGTAAACCACCAAGTCATAGAAATCGGTCAGTTCCACTCACCTGTCTCCACTCCTGACTTTCAAAACGTAGTTTCCAACACCATGGATATCCTTTGGACCTCTCTCAACAAGCGAGTATGGTAAAGCTTGCATCATCTTCAACTGTTCTGCTCTAACAGCCCCGTTCTCGTCATCATGGTTGCCAAATACTGCTGCCCATGGGATGCTCCGATCGATCACCTCCGATGCAAACTTGGCTAACACAGACTTGGGATCCCAAGACGTTCCCTGGCCGTTGAGCTGATCTCCTGTAAAGACCACCATGTCTGGCTTCTCTGCATCAAGTACATGACCAAGCAATGTGCTCGTCAAGTTGTCCGAAGCATAACAGGGAGAAATGTCGGTGTCTCTGCATTCACCACGGGAAACCGAGAAATGTAAATCGGCAACCTGAAGAATCTTGAACTTTCCATCTTGCGAAAAGTGGAGAGGAGGAGCGTGAGGCACAGCTGGACAAGACGTCAAACCATCCACATCATCAACGCAGGTCATTGCACTCACGCTTGACACCGCGTCGATAAGTCACATATACACTCTCGATAACGCCGTCTTTCTCTGGTGTGACAGCAGGTTCGACCTTCTCAAATCCATACCACGGACGATCTTCCCCAAACAAGACATCGACCTCGGTAATAATTTGTTGTTTTTCCTCGGTTGTCATCTCGTTCATCGCTTTTCCAATCTTATACCAGAGGTAAAGAGGCTTTTGGCGCACGACACCGTCTCGGATGGAACGTTTGACTTTGAACCACATGTCTGTTCTGGTACCGGGCTCTTCTCCCGAAGGAAGCAGCTTGAACTCGGTGATAAGAGGAACATCAAGCCGACGCGTCCGTCTGTAGTACAGATTCTGCAAAGCCTACATCAGATAACATATCATGAACACGGGGTGCATAGCCTCACTAAAGACCAGAGTCCGGACTGCATATTGAGATCCCGTTCGACGCGCACCCATTTACCTTTAACGGCATCCTTCTCTACTGTCGTTTCAGGTGCGCACAGGTCGATGCCGGCAAACTCAGGGGAAAACATGCATCGCTCGATGGTGATTTCCGACACTAGACGAAATGTGAGCCAAGCAGTGACAACCCTTGTCTACACAGGACGCACGGCCAGTATCATGCGGTAGGAAAGGTGCCCAGTAGTCCAGAGGGTAACTTGAGGTGTCAGACGGCTCATCTCCAGGGTACGACACGTTCCACCAATCGGTATCGACGCTGACATCCTCCGGTGTCGTGCTGTTGCCCACCGAACTCACAGAATCCCATGATTGCCATCCGACTTTCTGAGAGATTCCTGGGCCTGGCGTGGGTTGATAGAGTATGAATATGAAAGTGAGGAGGCAGGAGAAACCGACGATAGCGAGCACCGGTTCAGCAATGGATCGAAGAAAGCGGAAGAAGCGAGAACAAGACAGAGCCATATCGGCGATTACACCTAGTAAAGAAAAAAAGAGCCTAGTAACGAGTGAAACCAAGGTCGACGACAACACAATACTGGTCAGCGTTTCTTGAACGCCAGCTACGGCGTGCACATCAGTTGACAGGAATGCGCCCACTGCGGGGAAGCTGACGGTGTGTCGGGTCACGTGAGATTCCAGGCACCACGTGACCGGTCCCACCCATACCATTTGGGAATTTTTCGAGTCCTCCCAACTGGCCATGCAGTCGTTCGGACGCGTTTTCAGGCGGCTGTACTCAACGAAGCTGCCCCAACCGCCCACTCAGCGGGCTGCAACTGCGCTACCCAAGCATGCAGCGGAAGCACGGGAGGCATCGACTCCAATGGCCGTTCTCGAGCGTCGCGCACGCAAACAACCCGACCTCTTACCCCCACCCGGCAGTGACCTCACTCCGTCAGAGTACTCCAGCTACAGACGGCAACTTGCCAAGGGGGAGCTCATGACCGAGCAGGGGAGGGACCTTACCGAAGCCGAATGGCTGGATGCACTGAACAAGAAGCGGTCGCGTCTTCGCGGTGTTAAAGTCGTCGCCAAGGGCAACCAAAAACAGGTGGAGGTCGTCGGTCAAAAGATTTACCTCCCAAATGTTATATTCCGTATGGTCAGGAATCACACGCCGAAAGGAAAACCTTATAATCCGTACGAAGCAACGTTCCGCATCCCCCAGTCCATCACCAAAACCGACATTCGCTCGTACCTCTCTGCGGTATACGGCGTAGAGACTACGTACATACGTACAGCCAACTACATTTCCCCTCTGCGGCGTACCCGCATGGGCCTGCGGCCTGTCGGAAGGTATCGAACATACAAACGAGCCGTCGTCGGTCTCGTCGATCCATTTTATTACCCGCTGGATTTGGAGGACATGGACAGAGCTGCAAGGAAGGAACGTGAGGCGTGGTTGGAGGAGAAGTTCGCTCTCAAGGCTCTCGTTCGTTGGCGAAGATACGAGCTTGTCCGTTCGACCCAGTCGGGGAGCAAAGGTTGGCGCTTTACCGGTCATCTGCGGAGGGACAAGATATTGCAGGCTGTTGCCAGACGGAGGATGATTACGAGAATGGAGATTGAAGGGATAAAGGCTGAGATCGCGGAGAAACGTGCAGCGGGGAAGCAGATCTTGTCGGAGAAGGTCAAATCGTAGGCCCCTAACCACGAGTGTACTGCTCCTCTCCAATTGGCATTACATATGGACACTCTGACTCTAAAGTTACAGGATATAATCTATACACACCCAATCATCGCAACAACACATATAGGCATAAGTTCATAATGGTCATAGAGGTGTTCGTTCGCTCTAATGGATCAGTTGAATGTCGTACACTGGTAGTTGCATGTTCAGGGAGTGGCTCCCAACCGCTGGGAGTCTTCGAGCACTTTCTTTATATCCGATAGACGGTTACGCCAGGGGGACGGAATGTTAATGATCCCCGTGCTGAATGTAATGTGTCAGAACATGCCTCCAATCTCCAGGATGGCTTCAACGCACAAATCTCTAGTCGCCCGTCGCCTGATCACCTTTTCCCCCGGCATCTTTATATTCTTGGGAGTGAAAAATATATGCGACAGCTTCATACTGGTCGTACAGCAAGAGCAGGCGAGTGGTCAGACGACGACCAGCGAAGAGTTAGAGGAACAATTGTGTTATGTGTGGGCTGTTCTGCCCGTAGAGACGATCTCTTATACGACGGGGGGGGCGATAATCGCCGGTGGGCAACACCCGCCGGACCAGGGGAGTACAGAACTGCCCCGCAACGTCCATTATGTTATGTGGCGCTCACAGCCTCTCACCACACAATGAACCATAAGAGAAACACAAAAGGGGAAAATACCACCGGGTGGAGTGTCCACAAGCGGAAGGTACTGTGGTTCATCCATCACAGGGTGGTCTGGATTCCAGGAGCTTCGTCTCTGAAGAAGACATGGTGAGATGGCCGAGCGGTCTAAGGCGCCAGACTAAGGACTAGGTCATAAGATGACCACAGGGTATCTGGTCCGAAAGGGCGTGGGTTCGAATCCCACTCTCATCACACCTTTTTGACATTTTTGATGAGATAGCAAAAGATGTGTTTGGCCGATGGAAGGAAATCTATATCAAAACCCAATTGATGTAGGTTTTCGTTGCAACAGACTCTCCCGTCTTCTGCATCCTCCGTTCGCCAAGATTCTACAAGCTGGTTTGTCGTCTCCAATGATGTGTTCACCCGTCTGATCACATCCAACCCCCTCCATCAATACTTTTTCGGCGTATTGAAAGACAAAAAGACGTGCCATCAATATAAGAGCGCCTCGTCTGGAAATACCAGGTGGTGCACTGTCTCCCAATCTTTCTGCCACGCGTCCACTCGTCTCATAAGATCAGCCCACTCTTCTTCACTCTCAACCCCATCTAGCCACTCCGCTGCCAGTCCAAGTGCCTCCAACCTGCTCCACCCTCGCTTCAGACTACCCCTCAGATAATCAAGGCTTTCTCTTCTCCAGGGCTCGACGAAAGTGGTATTCTGCTCCGGCAACCCCTCCTTCGATCGCAACGTCTTGATGAGACCTTCTTGATAATCGAACGTGGAATTCTTGATCATCTTATGTCCGATATAATAGGGATCATACCCTCGCCTCCGAAGGTCTTCTTCGCTGTCTGCTAGCTCGCTCAGCAACTCCGCTCGGGGCGCGAGCAGGCTGCTATTCACAATGATCGAGGTCGCGTAGATACTCTCTGCAATATCTGAGGGACGGCCGAAGGGCGATCCCGGGAGACCGATAAAAGCCAACGCGTTCGTTGGGTAAGATGCCGACAGGGAAAATATATGTTTATGGAGCGGGAATAGATAACGCAGGTTGGTGGTAAGCCTGTGTTCGTCTGTTTCGTTGGACCCCGGTTTCACGATCACTTCCCCGCCTTCTTCTAAGAAAGGCATGCGCAAATCATAGCCTGTAGCCAGTATGATTATATCAACGTCCTGCACTGTCGACCCATCCGTGAAGACAACCTCATCCGATGTAAGATGTGAAATCCCGGGTTTCATTTCCACAGGTCCCGTTGGCATCCCCCGCCGTGGCGAACTGCGAATGGAAAGGTAAACCTATACCAAGGAAAACCAACCTGGGTTCAGGCACCGACTGAGAACTATTACAAATGGATGGCACTCACTTTACGGGCGTATTGCGACACCTGAGACGAGACGTCGATTCCACTTGCTCCTCCGCCAACTACTACAACGGTCTGGTTGACATACCAACTAGGGTGGCGATACCACATCGAATGAAAGATTTCTCGTTGCAGTCCACCCCTGGCGTTATCTAGCCACGTTTCTTGTCCCGGAAATATCACCACATGTGGCGCGTAACTTATTCCAACTGCAACGACGAGATGGTCGAACGATTTTTGTACCCGGTGACCATTATGATCTTCAACAACCATCTCCCAACGTCCTGCATGTAGTGTTCCTACCCATGACGACGACACCACAGAATGGTTTAACTTTATATATGGCCAGAGGCCATAATGGGTCGCATAATCCTGGTGATAGCGTTCTATGTATTCATGTGAGGGGAAAAGAGGGGTGCCAGGTGGGAATGGAAAGTGGGGATAAGTCATGATGGGGACGGGGGTGCCAGTACGCAGCAAGGGATACAATGGAGTCTCGGGTAGCTCAGGTGGAGGAGGGGGTGATGGATCTGGCAGCCTGCCGTCCAACATCCAGTAGATTGAGTTTCGTGTGGTGGGCATAACGAGTAGTGAAACAGACCGCACCATATTCCCCCAACGTCCCTGCGTCGCTCGTATAGAACTATATCCCATTCCGAGCGAGTCTCGACTGGGAGATCCAACAGGGTTTTCAACATAGCCAGTCCAGCGCTCCCCGCTCCAATGATAGCGACTGACTTGGATACATCTCGGTGGAAGTCGTAGTAGCACCCTGGCGGTGATAGTCGGAAGAGCAAAGAACCCAGGAGTGAGCACGCCAGTTGTCGGAAGTCGACCATGGCCACCAAAGTCAATTACGAAGGGAACCCGAACAACGTGGGGACTTTTCCTTCACTTGAACGCCCAGGCACGTTGCTTGAACTCTTTTTCAGTGCCAACGACGTGCGGCTCGGGAGCGAACAGCGCGTCGTAGTATGCAGAATTTATTCTAAGAATTGAGTAGGCAAGGCAGCGATATGATAGTACCACAAAGAAACCTGTGGCCGACTTACAGCAGGGCCAGTCCTTGTCCAAGCTTATCTGATCCCCCCTCTTCTTCCACCATCGAGCGGTTCGTCGCCGTTGGAGAGCCCTTATCAGAGCGAATCGATGACTACTAATCACCACTTTGGTGGTGCCAATTTTGTGCTAATTATGCATCGAGTATCAAACATTCACCTCAATACGTCCGTGAGGGTGATTCAGTCTATCTATTAATTTTCATCCCCTGACTGTTGATGAGGCTGGCAATGACCCCGTCCTGCTCGCTATCCCACTCGGAGACGAACCAATGTCTGAGGTACATTTGAGCATTGTTTTGATCCACCACACCGTTCGGGTAGTGCCATAAAGTATTTAGTACTCAAGCATTCACCTGGCATCGGTACGTATCTTACCATCAGCAGATCATAAAGACCCAATGGGGCTAGGCATGTACCACTCGTTGCTTCTAGTTCCACGGTTATAGATCCACTTTGTTCACAGTGGAGCATTTCGATCGTGTCAGCCTGCATCGGCCGACATCTCATGGTCGTATGGGTTTCGTGCTGCCTCCTACCTTTAGAACCACATTTCATGGAGGGGTTAGTGGTTACTAGTTAGCGGCCATTAACCCCTCGTTTCACGCACAATGAAGAACGACGCAATCGCACCCTCCAGACATTCCGACAATCAAAAGACTATTACCATGAAGAACGTCGAGACTGAGGAACCAGGCATAAGCTGTGAGGGTGGGCTGAGAGCCGGCAAACGTCAAGTCTTCTGCTACCAGTGTGCCAAATTATAGATGCAAGGTGACGTGGATTTTACAACGGCAGTACCGCGTATGTGCAAATCGCAGGCTTTTCCATTCCCAGCTAGGGGTCGGTTTGAGCGGCGAACACCTTTAGATCGGGTTTGGAGCATGAAAGGCTTCCGAAGGTGGTAAAAAAACGTTCTAACCTATATATCGCACTACGCTGGAAGTTGTGTGCGGGATTTGACCGCCGTGGAAAGCTTCTCTGCCTCACACCTTAATGGGTGGCTTCCGGGCAAAGATGAAAGGCTTCTCTTTCTCCCTCATTCCCAATATACATGAACGCACACAGCAAACCTGACCGCAACGACCCGTCTGAGCAGGACTTTGCTGTCTTAGAGGCTGTTGTCTGGACGAAGTTCGATAAATGGGTTCTCCCCATGTGCGCCGCGTTTTACCTGGTTTCGTTCTTTGTACGTCTCGCAACGCACGTTCTCCGGGAACGCTCCGTTCAGTTTAGCATCCCGGGCAATCAGGACTCGAACAACATTGGAAATGCACGTGTCGCCGGTATGCAGACAGCGTTGAAGATTACAAACTACCAAGTAAGCTTTGACGTTGCGTTATTTCCCTTTTTGACCCGTCGCAGTACACTGTGGCCTTAACGCTCACTTTCGTGTAAGCATCTCTGTGGGCGGTTGCGGAATTTTTGTTCAAGTTGGATAGCCCCTTCATCGCTACGGAGTTACCTTCAAACCTGATCTTGAAAGTTAGTCCACGGTCTTGACATTGTGTTGTTCTGACCTTTGTAATTGTAGCGTGTCGGACCAGATCGTATGTTACCTGCAATGGTCATCATGTGGGGCATAGTTGCTGGAATGCAAGGTACGCGGGCACTTCCAGAAAATTGACGTGCCATATATGGTCACAATTCTCTTTAGGGCTCGTCACTAGTTACACTGGACTAGTGTTATGTCGATTGTTCCTGGGTTTGACACAAGGTAGAATGAGGACGTACACGATATAGGGGCTCTGATGAATTGTCGTGTCCGTTGTCAGGTGGTCTTTTTCCAGGACTCGTTCTTTATCTTTCCTGCTTCTATCCCAGAGAAAGATTGCAGATCAGGTTAGACTAGGGATCGTAACTTTTCAATGCCTTGCTCATGACATACCTTTCCAGGGTAACTACTCTCTTTGTTTCAGCTTCACTCACAGGGGCCTTCAGTGGCCTGCTAGCTGCTGCCATAACGCATATGGACGGAGTAGGTGGGAAACCAGGTTGGGCTTGGATATTCTTTATTGTATGTTTCCCCCTTCTATTTCATGGCACGCGACATTCACAGAGTTTTTAGGAGGGATTGTTCACCTTCCTATTTGGTGTCATCTCATTCTTCGTCCTACCTCGGTCTCCAGAGACTGCACGCTTTTTATCTTCGGAGGAGAGACGTTACGTTATCTCGAAACTCAAGAGCAGCAAGGCTATCTCCGAAGATGCCAGGGAGGATGACTTCAGCTGGATTGAAGTATTAAGAGCGTTTAAATCCCCGCATGTTTTACTGCTTAGTATTATCCCCTTTTTCAATGGTATGTCACTGGTCGTCTTGTCTCCTCCGGTGTCACATATCAGAACCAGGGACACAGCTGTTTGGCCTTGCATTGTCAGTCCTCACTTTTTGGGGTGTCTACCTGCCTGACTTTGAATATGCAGTTTCGAACCAACGATCGTTGCTGGCCTGGGGTACACTGGCAATCAGGCACAGCTTATGAGTGTTCCCCCCTTCGTCCTTGCATTCCTTGGTAAGCATGAATTAGCATATTGTGATGTACGTTGCCTATTTATTGCCACATACAGCCTCTATGATTTCTGCGTTCGTTTCCGATCGGTATGGCTGCCGTGGCCTTACAGTGATATTTTTCTCGTTCTGGTGCATCATCGGATTCTCCATGTTCTATGGTATAGTCAAATGCTCCATGACTCCCCTTGGTATACTGATTTGATAATTCAGCGACCACTTCCCAACACGTCCAATATGTTTCACTTTTCTTCTCTGTGACTGGTGCATACGCTATTTCTCCAGCTAGCGTGACTTGGATTGTCAATAACAGCACACCCCATATCCGGCGAGCAAGTAGCGTTGCCTTCGCCTCCGTTACAAGCACATTAGGCGGTATTCTTGCTATCTGGTTGCTTGGCTCCTTGTCACCCGGCCCAAATTACACGACAGCCACAATCACGCTCATTATCATGTCCATTTGCATAGTCGCGATTTCATCTCTAACCTTGTTTTATCTTTCGCGACAGAACCGTATGAAGGCGGAGACGAGGGTCTGTATGGCGAAAGACGATGAACCTGAACATTTGGGAGATCGCAGTGCATGGTTCGTGTACACCATGTAGCTCATAATGAGAAGGATGAGAATTCAAGCGGCCGGGCTCCGATGAACATCATCGACTTGGCAGAAATTCTTGTTATGTGTACGAGTATGTGACCTGGAAATGTCAGTTGCTGTACCAGTCTCGCAATCTCTGCCATGTGTTGACTCGTATCATGAGATCGACCCGAGCTTTCGTTGTTCTCAACCCCGTCTATTACACTTGTTATTTTTGATCACATAGCAAAGGACGGAGTGATATGACAGTTCATGAATATACGAGTACGTCATCTGGAAATACCAAATGATGCACCGCCTCCCAATCTCTCTGCCATGCGTTCACTCGTCTCATAAGATCAGCCCACTCGTCTTCACTCTCAACCCCTTCTAGCCATTCCTCTGCTAGTCCAAGTGCCTCTAACCTTTTCCACCCTCGCTTCAAGGCTACCACTCAGATAATCAAGGCTTTCTCTTCTCCAGGGCTCGACAAAAGGGATGTTCTGCTCCGGCAATCCCTCCTTTGATCGCAACGTCTTGATGAGACCTTCTTGATAATCGAACGTGGAATTGTTGACCATCTTATGTCCGACGTAATACGGATCATACCCTCGCCTCCGAAGGTCTTCTTCGCTGTCTGCAAGCTCCCTCAGCAGTTCCACTCGGAGCGCGAGTAGGCTGCCATTGGCAATGATTGAGGTCGCGTAGATACTCTGCGCAGTATTCGAGGAACGGATAGTAGGGCGATCTCGGGAGGCCAATAAAAGCCAATGCGTTCGTTGGGTAAGATGCCGACAGGGAAAATATATGTTGATGGAGTGGGAACAGATAACGCAGATTAGTGGCAAGCTTGTGTCCATCTGTCTTGTTAGACCCTGGTTTAACGATCACTTCCCCGCCTTCTTCTAAGAAAGGAACGCGTAAATCATAGCCCGTAGCCAGTAGGACCGTATCGACGTCTTGCACTGTCGACCCATCCGTGAAGACAGCACCATCCGACGTAAAATGTAAAATCTCGGGCTTCAATTCCACACGTCCCAATGGCACCTCCCGTGGCGGACTGCGGACGGAAAGGTAAACCTATACCAAGGAAAAAAGACCTCGATTCAGGTATCGAACGGGAACCACTACGAAGGACTCACTCTATGGGCGTACTGCAGCACCTGAGACGCAATGCCGACTCCACTGGGTCCTCCGCCGACCACTATGACGGTTCGGTCGGCATACCAACTAGGATTGCGGTACCACATCGAATGCAGGATTTCACGTTGCAGTCCACCCTTGTTGTTCTCTAACCATGTGTCTTGTCCCGGAAATATCACCATATGTGGCTCATGGTATCGCCCAAGCTGCAACGACGAGATGATCGAATGATTTTTGTGTCCGCTCACCATTATGATCCTCAACAACCATCTCCCAATGTCCTGCATGTGGTGTTCCCACCCATGACGACGACAACACAGAATGGTTTAACCTTGATATATGGCCAGAGGCCATAATGGGTCGCATAATCCTGGTGATAGCGTTCTATGTATCCGTGTGTAGGGAAAAGAGGGGTGCCAGGTGGGAACGGAAAGTGGGGGTAAGTCATGATAGGGACGGGGGTATCAGTGTGCAGCAGGGGATACAATGGAGTTTCGGGTAGCTTAGGTGGAGGAGGAGGATGATGGATCTGGCAGCCTGCCGTCCGGTATCCGGTGGATTGAGTTTTGTGTGGATGGGCATAACGAGTAGTGAAACAGACCGCACCATATTCCCCCGATGTCCCTGCGTTGCTCGTATAAAACTATATCCCACTCCGCGCGTGTCTCGACTGGGAGATCTAACAGGGTTTTCAACATAGCCAGTCCCGCGCTCCCCGCTCCAACGATAACGAACTGACTTGGATACATCTCGGTGGAAGTCGTAGTAGCACCCTGGTGGTGATAGTCGGAAGAGCAAAGAGCCCAGGAGTGAGCACGCCAATTGTCGGAAGTCGACCATGGCCACCAAAGTCAATTACGAAGGGAACCCGAAACAACGTGGGGAATTGTTCCTTCACTTGAACGCCAATGCACGTTTCTTGAACTCTTTTATCAGTGCCAACGATGCGCGGCTCGGGAGCGAACAGCGCATCGTAGTATGCAGAATTTATTCTAAGAATTGAGTAGGCAAGGCAGCGGAATGATAGTACATACCACAAAGAAACCTGTGGCCGACCTACAGCAGGGCAAGTCTTTGTCCGAGCTTATTTGATCCCTCTTCTTCCACCATCGAGCAGTTCCTCACCGCTGGAGAGTCCTTATCAGAGCAATCGCCGATCGCCACAATACCTCCGTGAGGGTGATTCAGCCTATCTATTCTCCTGACGTTGACGAGGCTGGCGATGACGGCGTCTCGCTATCCCACTCGCAGACGATCTAATGTCTGACGTGCATTTGAGCATTGCTTTGATCCGCCACACTGTTCGGGTAGCATCCACTACTACAGTTGAATTGCTCATAATGTATAGCAGCCAGACTGCCTCTGATACATTACACAGTGGTTGTTTCAATGTTATCAGGCACTTGAAAGAGTATTCTAAAGTGAAAACAAAATACTTTCTTATGATATGAATTACAAGCATGTTATAATTTTTTATTCTGAGTGGACTGATAAATTTTGTCTGAAGTTTATATGGTGACAAACATTAAAGCATCTATCTAAATGTGATTGAAAGGTAAATATTAGGAGGACATCAAAAGATTATTGATAATAATGTCTTAGCCAAAAAATATGAATAATAGCAAAAAATTAGAATCAGAAATTACTTCCAAGCCATGCATCATTTAATATTACAAAATACATTATGAGATCCATCAAAATAAAATATTATGCACACAAAAAGGCGGTATTTTACAGGAAATATTTTATTTTGATACACCCCTTAATACATTACATAATATTAAATGATGCATGGCTTAGAAGCAATTTCTGATTTTAATTTTTCGCTATTGTTCATATTTTTTGGCTAAGACATTATTATCAATAATCATTTGATGTCCTCCTAATATTTACCTTTCAATCACATTTAGATAGATGCTTTAATGTTTATTATCAAACAAACTTTAGACAAAATTTGTGAGTCAACTCAGGATTAAAGATTATAACATGCTTGTAATTCAAATCATAAGAAAATATTTTGTTTTCACTTTAGAATACTCTTTCAAGTGTCTGATAACATTGAAACAACCACTGTGTTAGTACCAATATCCAACATGAAAAAAATCCCACAGTGTGACCCCCTGTGACTCCAGCCAATTTTGTGTCACATACATTATCATAGTAATATGAGTACTACTAGCTACAGGATTGTCAAGTCAAATACATATCAAGAGAGGTCTGTGTTGCATGAAGGAATGTTTCCATGTATATAAACCCAGGGGATCCTGCCATATCCCCTCAGTGAATTCACATTCCTCTTTCCTGACAACAAGCCCCACTCTAGTCAGAACTACTTTACTCAATGTTTACTTCAATCACTCTATCCAATACTAAAGGCAAGTGCTCACCTCTGCTCTCACCCTTTCCCCTTCCTCTGCCAATAGGTTATGAGCCCCAACATCTAACTGTCAGTGTGCTATTGTTGATTGAGCATTTACTGATCACTCTTGATGGACAAATCAGCATGCCATTTGATGGCCTAGATGTGCTAGGATGGACTGTTGTTACTTTTATTTTGTTGCTTCTTTGTGGCTTTTACCAGAGCATTCTTCTTTATTTCAGAGATTTTGGGCCATATAGGGAGTTATTAGCCAGCTCTGTTGCATTTTGGATGACAGCATTAGGTATTCCTATGTGGATTCTTTTGAGAAGGGACCAAGGTTGCAGGGCAAACTAGAGTGTGAAAACTCAGTCTTTGAAGTAGGATGAAGTCTATATTATTAACCAACCTAGAGTGTGAAAACTACTCAAGCTGGTAAGTAAAAGTAGGGTATAATACCAGTAAGGAACATTACCTCAGTCTTTGAAGTAGGACAAAGTCTGAGGTACAAGGAAAAATGAAGTGGCTAAATTGTATGGATATATTATGTAAGCAGTGCTTGCTGTACAGATCAGCAGTATGTTCCAACATGCCCCCTCAGCAAGTCATGGTTTGAAAAATAAATCCATACCCTTCATGTAACACCTTGTGTAGGTATGTTGTAGGTGAAGGATTTGCATTGGTGGCACTTCCAGGGCCAACATTTGAGCTGTGAGTAGCTTTGTTGTGTGGCATGGAGTTGCTCCACAGCCTTGCTGACTGTGTGTTAGCCCTCTACACTTGTTGTCTTGCCTCCTCCACCCTCATCATCTCTTGTACTGACACTATCCTTCCCATAGGTCAATTTGGCATCCCAATTTTCAAGGAAGAGGCTATAGCTGGTGCAAAATGATGGCTTGGGGTGCTTTGGAGCTAACCTGGACTTTTGAGGTGATTCTAGGCTCAGGTGCTGTCATAGCAGGCTTTGTAGATGACCTATGGCCCTAGGAGGTGGCTGGCTACATTCTGTAGGATGGCTACTTGGTTTTTCAACCAAGGTTTGTTTAGATTTCAAGGTGTGCACCTCTGTTTGACTGGAGCACTTATCTGGCTCCTCAGATGGTGTTGGGGACCAATCATGTTTGATGAGTGGCTTGTTTGGGCTGTCTTCAACCTTTCTAGGGATGTCCTTAGCACTGGGCATGCCTGATTGAAGATCTGGGCTCATCTGCCCCAGGTTTGTGCTCATGCTACCAGCACCTGCAATCATAGAGGTGGCTGGTGAGTCTGCATCATATTTGCTGCTTTCCCTGCTCACAGCCTGAGTGCCTACAGGTAACTTGGCTGTGATTGCTTCATTTGACCCTGTGTAGTCACCCTTGAGAGGGATGATGCTGCATGTCTCAAGCTTGTGGATGCCTGGTCTGTTCAGGCATGCAGGTGCCCCCAAACTCATTTCATCAAATGTAGTATGATTTGTTAGTGTGCCTGGAGTATGTACTGTGGGTATGACTGCATCTGTGCAGTTCTTGCTGGGCAGGACAAGTGTGTGAGTTGCACATTCAGCTATGTGGCCTGGAGTTTGTGTGTTTGACATCTTGTAGCAGGCTGTCTTGGGCTTGAGGTAGGTGATTAACTCTTCTGAGTTGTATTTGCCCTTACTGTTGGTCAAGAGGTGCTTAGGACATTCACCAGTTTTGATTTCTGCTTGAGTGTGAACCTTGTTGGTCAAGTCAAGGGTATTTTCTGACTGATAATCTGTCCAAGATGTTGGTACAGATCCATTGAAGGCTGAGTAGGTCTGGTAGAGTGCACCATGAGTGTCATTAAGATAGGCCTTAGGTGGGGTTAAGCTGATCTGCTGTGTCTCTTCAAGATGAAGGTGATATGCTGCTGTAGGATGCTGTGTGCAGTCCATAACTTCTGTTTCATCAACCATATCTGTGCTGACAAGTCTGTGTGTGGGTTTTTTACTTGCACACCAGTCTGGGCTAGAGCACCAGCTTTCAAGCAAAGCTTCTGACCCTGCACATGACTCAGATAGCAAGATGTTGGAATTGCAGAATGGGAAGACAGAGTTATACAGCATGTATGAGGCATCATTTTGGGTGTGTGGTTTTGCAGGCAAGTATGTAGAGTCCAGTCTTCTTACAAATAGTGACTCCAACAGTTCCTGACTGGCTGTTGACCAACTGACACTTATCTTGTTTGAAGGTGAATTGTACTCCCTGACTGGTGAGGGATGGGACTGACAGCAAGTTTGAGCTTAAAGATGGCATGTAGTAGACATCATGTAGGATGATGCAACTTTTCTGTCTGTCCCTGAGGTCCATGTCAAGAGTTATATGGCCAACTGTGACTGTGTGCACAGTGTTTCCATTTGTGAACTGTGATAGGCTGTGTAGGTGCAAGCCATTTAAGTGAGGTGAACCAACTGTATTGACAGCTCATGTGAGCAGAGGCTCTGGAGTCAAGGATCCAGTGCATGCATGGAGGATGGCTGTGTGCATGTGCTAAAAAGAGGTGGAGTGGTGCATTTTACTCAGAGGATACATGTGTGAACTTGGCAGCAAGTTCATCCTTTTCCTTCTCTCCTGCCTTTCCCTTGTCATCTGATGTTGCATTTTTTGAAGCTTCATCAGCTTTCTTTTTTTGACATTCATCTTCAGCTGTGTCCTCTCTTTTTGCAGTACCTGCACTTGATCTTTTTTCTGTCATCATTTGCTTTTGACTTTTGCTGAGCAGATGTCCTGGAGACGAGTGCAGTTTGCCCACTGGAGGCAAGTTGACATGTGACTTCTCCTCAATTAGAACCTGCAAGATCACTGAGTCAATTGACAGTTTGTCATTTGAAGACATCAAGATTGTGTGGAGTGTTGCATAGGAGGGTGGTAAGGAGATTACCATAGCAATGGCTACAAGGGAGTCATCGAGAGTTTGGCCAAGTGACTTTAGTGTGCACACTTTGTGCCACATAGCATTTAGCTGGCTTTCCATTGGACTGTCATCTGAGAGCAGTGCCACAGAACAGCTTGCATATTAGATAGGCTATAGTCTGCTTGCTGTGCCCTTCAGTACTGCTGACACAACTTTTTCCAGATTTCAGCCACTGTCATCACATGAAGAACTCCAGTGAGGGGTTTGTCTTTCAGTGTGAGTATGATCTGGGCTCATGCCTCTTTGTCCTTTATCAACCAGTCCATATGGTCATTAGGGTCAACTTTAGGATCAGGTGCTGTAGTTGTGTTTCCACCAACAACTTCCCATAGGTCTCATATGTCAAGCACCATGCAGATCCTTACGTTTCATGTCTGGAAATTCAAGCCATCACCTTCAAGTGATGGTATGTCATAGAGATGACTTGAGGCTTGCTTAGCTTTTGCTGACAAGAGAGTAGTGGTGGTTGAGGCAGTGGTTGTTGAAGCTGATGCCTTGGAAGGACCGGCTGTCAAAGCTGAAGGGTTTGACATTTCATGAGCTTAAGGGTAGGGAAGATTTGTTTTTGTCTATAGTTCTGCAAGCTTGGGGCTCATAACCTTTTGAGAAGGGACCAAGGTTGCAGGGTGAACTAGAGTGTGAAAACTCAGTCTTTGAAGTAGGATGAAGTCTGAGGTACAAGGAAAAATGAAGTGGCTAAATTGTATGGAAATATTATGTAAGCAGTGCTCACTGTACAGAACAGCAGTATGTTCCAACAGATTTGGCTTTATAATCACTGGATTCAAGCCCATGAACTCCATGCTATAGCTCTTGCCACTGAGTTCAGTATCCTGATTGGTGTTCCCTCTGCTCACTGCATTGAGGCTCTGCCTCTGCATTACCTTCTTCATGTGATGCTTGATTGTGATGACTACTTTGTTTTATCTCATGTTCTCTGCAGAAACAACTGGCAATAGTGTTGAATTTTGAAAGGTGTTTCTGACAGAAAACATGACACAGTGGATTTCCAATGTTTTATTGGTGAAAAACAATTACCATGACCCACCACCAAAAACCAAAAACAATCATCAAAAAAATTATTAGTACTGATTCCTACATGTTATGCAATACATTAATCAAATACTTTACCACAAAATAATTTAAACACACTGATCATTGAAGAACATGTAATGTTACATAGAACATCAAAAGTAAATGATACATGTTTTGTATGTGATAATAATAAACACATTTGGCCAAGTCTTTCAATGTTCACCTGAAAAAAAAAAACAGGACAGCAGTTCAATGTTTTCTCTAAAAACATGACATGCTAAACTACAATTTTTATGTACAAGAACATGGTACTGAGAGCATGCCAAATGTTCTAGGTCAAATTTCAGTATCTTATCTCCCAGAAAACATGATAAATAAATAATGTATTAAAATATCCTGTTCTACCACAGAATAACTGTGAAGTAGGCATGTTATATGTAGTGGTGTTGTGAAGGTTCTGAGCTGTTTAGGTTCATTTGTGGGCATGACTGCCTTGTGCACAGATCCAAGTTTGTCTCTCTTTGACATTGTTTCATAGGTGACAAGCTGACCACTCCCTTCCAGTGTGCTTGACTTGTTTTTCCAATCTTTCAGCATCTCTGCCCTAGCTGCATCATCAGGCCTCTTGCTGCTCTGCTCTGATGTGCACTTAGTCCCTCAGTAGCTTGTCAGCATACTGAGGTCTATCTACAGATTCCACAATTATATCCTAAAATAAAAGATGAAACACATAAAACAGTACAATGTATCACTGATAAAATGACTCATCCAGTTCTTCCAATGAGGACCATGGTGGGTCTGTCATGCACAAAATATCCTGTTTGACAGTTGTGGACAGACAAACATGACAATTTTACTCATTGAATTATTCCAATATGGCACAATGTTCCAGGGGTGTTACAAATGTATACTAGGCATATTTAGGACATAAAAATGCAATCTGCATGAGCCAATTTTTGTTATACTAAGTTTTTGAAATTTTGACCCAAAAATGTGGCCAGCCCCCAAAAGAATTTGTAAAAATCCTGGAAAAAGTGGAATAAGTAGCATTAGACCAGTACAGTATGATCACAATGTCAGGGTACAGCTGTCACACTAGTGAGGAGCAGAAAAAATTGAGCAAGTCTGAGGTTTATGGTCATGTGAATTGCTCTTAGACACAGGAATGCCCTGTGGCTGCTCTTGAAAACCCACTGTAACATGCAACATGGCTGGTCTGCATAACCAGAGCTCAGCTGTTGTTGAAACAGGCAATGTATCATTCCCTGATACACCCAAATCTGACAAGGATCAGCACACAAGCAAATGCATGAGGACATGATCTCATGCTCCCAGCCCTGAAGCAGAAGATGAAGAACTGGAGTGGAAATGCACCAATGTACTTGACAGTTTGAAGTTTACAGCCAGTGAGAGTGAGTCAGAGGATGAGCTTGAACATGATGATGCCACATTCCAAGTCATGGGTGTTGGTGAGGCTGATCTCTGTGCTCAGTTGGTCAACCTTGCCATTAGTGCTGGTGATGACCCTCTTGGTGAGACTTGGTTACCTCTGAGAGAAGCAAAGTGTGCTGCCTAATGAAAGCAGTCACTCAGATGCCCCAAGGAATACAAGAAGGGTCCTGATGTCCATCAGCTCTCACAGAAAGCCATGACATTCATGAAGTGGTTCTTAATCCTACCTTATATAGGGTCAATAACATGTTGCCACACCCTAAGTACCACATTCAATCTAACCAAAATTTTGGCCACCCTAAAAAGTCATGGGAAAGACTTTGGGCCACTGTTTTTTGATGTATTTTCACCTGTAGCATCTGAATCAAGTGTTAGTTTGCCCTTGCCCCCCAAAGGTCATGGGAATCCAGAATCAAAATCATTGTGTTTGTCTGTCCACAACTGTACCACAGAACATGATAAATAAATAGTGTAATAAAATATCAATATCCTGTTCCACCATGGAGCATTATGAACTGTGAAGTAAGCATGTTATATGTAGAGGTGTTGTGAAGGTTCTGAGCTGTTCAGTTATTGTCAGACTGCTGCCTACTGCAAATACAGTGCTGAACTCCCCATTTCTTGCATGAACTGCCTTGTGCTCTTTCACTTTCAAAAGCAGACTGGGGACATTCATGAGTGGTGGGGGTGCTATCAGAGGCTACTCTTTCTCTAGTCAGTCAGGGCAACCATGGAACCATGGATTTTGGACTATCCTGTTCTACCACAGAACATTATAATGTGTGTCATCAATGTGTTGTTGCAAGAAAAAACAACAAAGGACACAGAATACTCAAGTATAAAAAGTCAGGTGGCACATCTCATGACTGAATGAGGTTTATTCCATGAGATAAGATCATGTGACAGCATGTGATGGGGTGGTTGAGCAAGGGCAAGCAGTGGTAGCATTGATGGTTACAGATGCCACTTATCATGTTCTGTGGTACAACAGGACACTTTAATACACTCTTTATTTATCACATTCTCTGGGAGACAAATCAGTGTGATTTGATTGAAAATATTTAGCATGTTAATATGGAATCTTAGTAGCATGTTTTTGCACATAACAAATATTGTTTTAAATGTCATGTTTATGAAGTACACATTGAGCCAATAATCTGATGTTTTGTGGGTCAACATTGAAAGACTTGGTTAAAGGTTATTAGTATTATCACATACAAATCATTTATCATTTACTTGTGAAGTTCTATGTAACATCACACATTCTCTAATGACTAGTGTGTTTAAATTATTTCATGTTACAACATTTGATTAATCAATTACATAACATGCAGAAAACAGTACTAATGTTTTTTTTGATGATTATTTTTGGTTTTTGGTGGTGGGTCATAGTAATTGTTCTTCACCAGCAAAACATTGGAAATCTACTGTGCCATGTTTCCTGTCAGACAAGCCATTCAATACATAAGATTATTTCCACTTGTTCAAGCAGAGAGCATGTGATAAAATAGAGTATCTTTTAAAAGAATTTTTTTTCACATGTTTGTGCAAAGAAAATTGTAAAATGCTTGCTGTGTGTTCCACTCTCACTTATAGAGCACACCTGGTCCAATTTCCCTACCTATCCTGGTCTTGAAACTCCTTTTGAGCTTCCCAGGATTCATACTGCCTACCACAGTTACCTTACTGATTTTTCCCCAAAGATTCAGTGTTTGTCCTTGCCACATGCAATCACTAACTTTAATGGATGCAATCTCCCCAGTTTAACCTATGAAGATCCTGCCCTCTGGACAGTCCTGGCTTCCACAATCACTCACAACACCTTCATCTACATTTACACTCACTGCTATCCCCTTTACATCTCAGGAGACCAATTCAGAGAGCTCATCCCTCCTTTATGGGTTTGGCACAAGCATCTGGAAAGCCATTACAGAAAACTCTGGAGAGAAGGAAAAGGAATTACCAATGTCAAATGTATCCCACTCTTCTTCTGAGAGCAACAATGCAGTGGTCACCTCTTTGACCTCCAGTTATTGGAGTTTGTTGACCAGTTTAAGACCTGGGGGGATTTGAATGAATGTTGTACTGGATGCAACAGCATTAGGAAACATCTTTGGTGGCTTGACAGTACCAGTAGGAAAAGATTCACTTACTGGCCAGGAACAGACTTGATTATGGCTGATTTCAAATGTGCAATGGCTCATGATACTGGATCAGCTTTTAGCCAACCCAGATGTCAAGGGCTTCATGCCACTGCTCTTGCAAGGGCTCACATGAATGCTGAAACTTGTTGCAAATTATCCTCTTCCCAGTACAATGGATGCGCCATACACATCTGGAGGCCAGTGCCAAGAGTATCCTAACAGACTTTCTCCTGTTCTTGATGAATCATATACTATGTTTGAAATCTTTACTTCTCATCAAATTGGCAATTGCATGTACAATTGGTTCACTTTTTCCTTATAGTTGTGCCTCTGACTGGCTAGGATTCACTAATCCCAATGGTCTTCATGACATGGGATGGTCATTCCTAAGCTATCACTATTTTCCAGAACTTTGTTTCAATTGTCTTGAATACAATGTAGCCTGGAATTCTTGCATTGCCTTATGGTGATATGCTGAGAAAGGCACAGAACCAGAACCAAAAACGTGGAGAAATCCTCAGACTCATCAAAAATGCTACAAACAAAATCATCCCTCTCAAAAGGCCAGAGCTGAAAAATGCTGAAAGGCTCTTCACACTCTTCTCCAAAATCCCTTTAATCCAGGACTCTTGGACCCTGTCCAATCTTTCCTTTACAACCATCTAATCCTTGACATTTATTAGAATGTCTTCTGAAGGAGGTCTCAGAAAGAACATCCCAAAACTTAATGGGATGAACTATGCTGTCTGGAGTGTTATGATGAAAGCATACTTCCAAACTTTGGAAGTCCAGGATATTGTATCAGGAACTTCTACTCTACCTGTGGATGCTGCTGCTGCTTGTGTCTGGACTGTCTCCAACACTAGAGCACAAGACTGCTTCATGCTTTATTGCGATCCAATGATTGCTCTTTCAATCAATACACATGCCACTTCCAAGTTAAAGTGGGATGATTTAGAAGGCAAATATGGCAAGCTGTCAGCAATGACAACTTTCATGGAATTCCAAAGGCTTCTTCAGATTCAAATTAAACTGAAGGATGACCTCATGGCCAAAATCACAGAAATCAATATGCTCTTCCAAACAATTTCTGGTCAGGGTTTTACCCTTGACAACAAAATGAAGTCTTTGCTTCTTGTCCATTCCATGACTGCCTTGTGGGATCAAGCTCCCACTAATATTTTATCATCAATCAATCCAACCAAACTCAAACCTGATACTGTTATCCCTCATATGAAGGAATTATGGTCACACTGGTCTGGGCAAACTCTTTTGCCTAAACAAATGGAACCATCTGGTTCTACTACTCAAGTCAAAAAGGAAGGGAACTCTCTTCTTGCTTGCATGAATAAACCACCCCTCTGCAATATTTGCAAGGGTGGTCATAATACTCAAGACCATCATGGTGGTGGATCATCTTGTGGCCATGGATCCTGAGGAAATTGAGGAGGTCATGGATGAGGGGGAGGTGGCTATCAGTCTTACCCCCAAAATCAACAGCAACAGCAGCAGGGAGGTTCTTCTACTTGTGGAAAGAACCAGAACAAGCACCATGGCAAGGGAAAAGCTAAGGCCCAGGCCAATGAACTTGATGTTCCAGGACAAGGTGCTGAGGAATTTAGCCTCACCTTTGTTGAGGAACTGCCTGATTCTTATCCCTCTGATGATTTTGATATTACTGCTATGGAATACCATCTTCCTGCTTCTCCTGAATACTTCCAAGCTCCAGAATCAGTTGAGACAGTAACATCTCCTGATATGGAACAGACCCTTGGGCAACATACTATTGTTGCATCACACATACCTTCTCCTGAGTTATCTCAGGATGATATCAAGATGGCCATGGAACATGTCAGATATGTTCCTACTTTACCAATTCAACCAGATGGTACTCTCTTGGAATGGTACCAAGAGGAAATCCAAAACTCCTTCATTAGTGAAGTTGAGTCAGTGACTCCTTGTGTCAACATACCAAGATCTAATTCTCCTTGCCATTGCACCATTTGCCTGCATTCTCTAGCCTCAATGGGTTTCAGAATGGGTTTATCCCCACAGGAATCCCAACAACAGGAGACAATGGATCCTCTTTTGAGGACAATTCTATTTCCCTCTTCTGAGCAGAGAAGCAGGATGGTACCTAGCCAGACCATCAAACCCCCACATGGAGTGGAAGTTACCAATGTGGCTAGTACAGACATGGCAGGAGAGAGGAATTCTGCAGAACAGAGTGAGGAGGCTATTCAAGGAAACAGACATTCTACCAAGTCTTCCTGAAAGTCTCACAAATGCTTTACAGTATCACTAGCAGAATTTCATGCAAGTATACCAAATGTCAGGACTTATATTTGTCCTAGACCTTTTATTTCCCTTTCTGTACCAGACTTTGATCATGACCCAGAGAATTCTATCAGCAGCTATCACCCTGGTGAATTTGACCATAATGCATACAATGCTTGTGACTATTACCCATATGACATGTCAGCCTTCACAACACTACCAAAAGGTGAGTCCATTTGGATGCTTGACTCAGGGGCTTCACATCATGTGACCCCATATCAATCTGACTTTTTGTCTTTTCAAGCATTTAAGACACCAGAATTTGCCAATACTGCTGGTCATCAATGAGTCGATATACTAGGGGAGGGAACTGCGGCTTTACACCTTGAAAATGGCAATAACCTTTCCCTCAAAAATGTTGTTTACAGTCCTCATTTTTCAAAGAGACTGTGCTCCTGCAATATGCTCCTTACTGTCTTTTTCAGGCAACTTGTCACCATGGGAAAAACATGTCCAAAAACATGCACCCACTTTGGTCACTGTTATCTTCTCAATGCTCACTCGGAATTCAACAGTGACAACCCCAATTGACTTAGACAGTCCAGGAGAACATGTTCCAGCCTGACTGAAGTCAAAAATCCAAGATTTTGTAATTTCAGGATTTCAGGATTTAGTTCTGTGATAAGTTTTCCTCTCTGTGCCCTGATCTGATGGTCAAACCAACATTGTAGCCATGCCACAAGGTCAGAAAATGGTCCCCAAGATGCAGTGGGCTGTCATTAGGCTTGCCAAGTTTCTTGATCATGAATGAATTGGCATCTGTCTAAACCTTTCCACCTGCTCTGTCAAATGGATTCTTAATCACTTTCATCAGTATGGAACCATCCACAACCCAGGGGAAAATGTCATTCAGAAGGAGAAATTTGGAAGGAGGCACCTTAGTGATGTTGATGTTGAGGTATGTATTATTTCTGTGTATTAGTATGCCTCAAAAACTAACAGACTTATTATTACAGTTTCTTCTAGGTACTGTGCAGAAAACCCCTGATCTTTACCTGGATGAGCTTCAAGAAATGCTACAAGCATCCTGTGGTACAGAGGTCTCACGTGCAACAGTGTGAAGAACACTTTGTAGACATGGTTTCACAATGAAAAAGGTGAGTCATGACTTCTAGGTCTTACCATCAATTCTTGTGGTGATGCTCACATCTTCTTAGGTCACACATGTTGCAGTAGAGTGCTCAGTACAAAAATGTCTTGAATATCTCACTCACATAGGGGCATACACAGCAGAGCAACTTGTCTTTGTTGATGAGAGTTCTGTTGATTGTTGAACAACATATCATGGCTGTGCCTGGTCAATCAGAGGAACAAAGGTGCAATGCAAGGCATTTTTTGTACATGGTCAATGGTAAGTATATTGTCTTCTTTTTTTGATCATGCTGTCAATAGTAAAGTTATTCAGTTCTCCCTGCACTCTCCCTGCAACAAGGCATCCTACATTGCAGCATAGTTGAAGGTTCATTCTGCACAGAGAGCTTCACAGAATTTATCAGGCATCTTCTTGACAACATGGAACCTTTTCCTACTCCCAATTCAGTCATTGTAATGGACAATTGCAGTATTCACAAGCACCCAAATATTCAAGTGCTCATTGAAGCAAGGTAATGTCTATTATCATTTGATTTTTTGGTGTGCTGATGGCTAGAGCCTATGTAGGGGGATGTGATGTGAGTTCTTACCACTGTATTCACCAGACCTAAATCCAATTGAGCTTGCATTCTCTGCTATGAAGTACCACATTCATTGTAATGGAGGGTATGCATGACTGGCCATGATGCAGCTGACTGAACAGGAAATCTATATCACACTGCTTGATGTGCTCTATAAAATCACTCCTGAGGACTCATATAGTTGGTTCATGCACTGTGGATATGTATGATAGTATTCTTTGGCTGTGACCATCCTCACCATTATATACAACCTTTTCTTCATGAAATCCTTTTGATATGAGTAACATGAAATTTTTTATGTCACTACCCATTCACTGATGTCTGACTTCCTTTGATAGCCAACCATACACAAGGCTGTGCATGACCTCATAAAACATGAAGCAGCAATGTGTAGCAAACAACAAATTCTGACATGTTGTGGTGGTTGTGACTTGAGCTTGAACACCCCATGACACTGTCAGCTTCCTATGGCATCCAGGAAATGCAACAAACCTCAAGCTGTTGCTCAGACTTCTGATGCTTCACTCATCCCTCCTGCTCTTGCTACTACAAAATGTAAGATTTTACTTCTCATGCCAATTCATTGGTCATTGACTCTATTTTAGTGAACACTGGAGTGTGTTTGGGCTGTCATAAACAAAAGATACACTGCATTTTTGCTCCCAATGCAACCATATCCAATAAATGTGTCAAGGGAAAACATCCTGAGGAGTGCATTGTTCAAGAAAGCCGCACTCAGTCACACAGCACCAGTACTCCACTGTCAAATATTTCAAGTGAATCTAGCACACATAAATGCCCTATAACAACCACTACCTCTGGCAAAGACTCATTTCCCAACAAATGGCCATGTCGCACTCCCTCAGAAGGCCCTGCAGTGACTAGGGCATGTTGTGCTCCCTCAGAAGACCCTGCAACAACTAGGGCAAATGTCATGCCCACAGGTGACCTCACCATGATCTCTGAGCTCAATGAACCAGATGGCCTTGACAGCAGCTTCCCTAGCAACCAAGACTTTGGGGAACTTGCTGGGGAGATAATGAGTGTTGTGACTGGCCACAGTGGTAGTGCTGTAGAGTTTGAGGAAGAGCACGAGGAAGAGGAGATGAGTGAAGACTTTGACTTCAATGTGATAGTGGCAACTGTGGATGAGGAACAGTGGTCAATCAGTGGTGAAATGGACAATGACATGCAAATGCCATGGAAGCAATCATACCCAACCATACAGTGTTCATCTGCTGAACAAGCACTGCCTGTCAAAGCTGTAGGCAAGAGCAAGAACAAGAACAAGGGGAAGGGCAAGGCCGTACCAAAGCCAGCAAGTTCTGAGCAGTATGATCCAGACACATGTGGTGAGTTGCACTCATTATTCTACATGTATTTGCATACTGACATGTTTTGTATTCACCAGTCTTCAAGATCCAGTGTGCTGTTCAGTGACTCCATGGATCAAAATCATCAAATATCCCCTTCTAGATATTGTCCACCATGGATCATGATGAACTTTGCATGACTGTTGCAGAGAAATTAGGCTGGTTTCCAGGACTTGTCAAACTGCAATATCAGTTAGATTGCAAGGCAAAGACAGCATTCACTTCCCTACAATCAGATGAAGAACTTGAATTTTTCATAGAGACAATGAGATCACTGATCATCCCTCCATGCCTTGCCAATGGAAAGATGTCAACTTGGCCAATGAAGCCAATCACTGTCTACTTTGATGATGCAGCCTCAGATGATGATTCAGTGGTTCCAACATCCACTGGAAATCATAGCAAAGTGGTATGTTGAATTGAATTACTGTAGCAATCACTCATATTGTTCTCAGGGCATGAGAAGCTCAGGGTCTCAGGCTGCATTGCCATCCAGACAGAAGCCTCCAAGCAGTGAAATAGGAGGTGCAGATGCACAACAGAAGCATGTTGAAGAGCTCCAAAAATGGTGGACATGCAATGTGCATTCAAAAGGATCTCAGTCCCCTAGCTACTGCTACTCCCCCATAGGGAGTACCATCTGCCATGCTTTGAGTCATCAAAACATTGCATACTGTGCACTCCTGATTGTAAGTTACCTGGTCTTTCATTGATATTCTTCCTGACAATCCACAATTTAGATGAAAGAAGAAGCAACTGTGGATATGAAACCCCCTGCTGTTGTTACTCAGGGTGTGAGGCAACATATGCAAAACATAGGTAGTAGCTCTGCTGTTGATCAAGCAGCAGCTGTGACACAGGGCCCCAGTCCAGTCACTGTTCAATTCATGTCACCATGGCCTGGGGGACACCTTTATCCTCCATTTGCCCATCAGATGCCCCTTCAAACTCATACAACTCCATCACCACATGTTCAGGCAGCTCAGTCTCTCACACCAACTCCTGCACCTGATGGTTTTCATGCACCATCCCCAAGTTTATTCACTCCTTCCATGACATTGACACCCACCAACTCAGTGACAGAAATCACCAAGATTATCCCCTGGTTCAATTCCCTTGAACAGCACATGAAAAAAACCCCATGTGGTGTCAAGTTTGGAGACTTTGGACCTGAGCTTGATGCAAGAGGATTCATTCATATATCACAACTTTCACGTGACTATATGTCAACTCAAGCATTACAAGACATGTTGAGGATTGAGATGGGAACTACAATTCTTATCCTTCAATGTGTGGATGCAGACTTACAGGCCATACACTCTGGGACTTCAGTAGTTTAGTTTGGTAAACTAATATCACTATTCTGTCTTCCCACTTAGTATCTCAATATACTAGTTTACACATTTAGCATTTGCAAGACAGGGCACAGAGAGGAAAACTTGACAGAACTAAATTTTGAAATCCTGAAATTTCAAAATCTTGGATTTTTAGCTTCAGTCAGGCTGGAACATGTTCTCCTGGACCATCCAAGTTGATTGGTGTCATCACCATTGAATTCCAAGTGAGCATTGAGAAGATAACAGTGACTGAAGTGGGAGCATGTTTTGGGATGTATATTTCCCATGGTGACAAGTTGCCTGAAATAGAAGTAAAAGGTGATATAGGAGTGAAGCAACTACTACAAATGAAGTAATCTGAACACCTGATGGCCAGATTCTCATGAAGGCACAATTAGCCTCTCCAAGTTCACCGTTACATTGGTTTGTGGGCATACTGCTTCCACCTACTAATGCTTTTTTGGTCCTTTGCCTGATGGTAACACCAAGTGCTGAACTTCTTTGGCATAATTGGTTAGGACACCTGGCAACTAATATTCTTTGTCACCTTCGCTGGTTGGGTCTTCCAAATATTTCCATTTCTGGTGCTCCTCACTTCTTGAGGAATGCCCATCAGCTTTCAATAGCTGATCAACCACAACAAAATGGTTGCACAGAATCATTCAACAGGACTATTCTGGAAAAATCAGGAGCTATCTGGCATCATGCTTGTGTTCCAAAGAAATATTGGAACTTCACTTTTGATTGTGCACTCCATGTGTACAACAGAACACCATTGAAAAGGATAAACTTCAAGACACCAGCTGAATTATTCACTGGCAAGATTTCAGATATTTCTTATTTCTGCACAATTGGTTGCAAAGCATATGTATGGGTGCCAAAAGAACAGCAAAAAGATAAATTGGACCCACATGCAACTGAAATAACAAAAGGCTATCAGTTTCTATATGGTCACCAGATCATACTATCTCATACTGCCAAGTTCATAGAAGACTTCTTTCCATTCTGCTCAGATAGTAAATGCAAATCCAATACCTCAAGTGACCCAGTTTCTGAACCTGACCAACCTACTGGTCTTCCACATGATCCAGTTGAAAACCTTCCAGATTTTGGGATTGATCATCCCAATATTGGACCTCATCCAGTCTGACCACTGAGTCCTCCAATTCCTCCTCATAATCCAAACCCACAGCAGGGTGGTCCAGACCATTTACCAGGTCCTAGACCTTCTTTACCTCCTCAAAGACCACCTAGAGCACCTGCTGCTGCTCCACCAGTTGACCCTTGTTTTCTTCAGCACCCTCATTTACCTTATCTTGTTCCTGGTGATAATAGAAATCTCAGAAGGGCACACCTGGAACAAGCTGAAAACTGAGAACCTCATCCTAAAAGAAGAATTATTCCTACTTCTTGACCTGACAATGTCTATGGAGATCATCCTCCTGTCAAGATAGAAAGGGATATACAACAAAATAAAGACACTGCTCAGGAATGGATTTGCAATGCCCAAAGAGGCATTGATAATACTTGGGAAGTGCAAAGGAGAATACAGGAAGAGAGGAGACCACCATCACCCTTTCAATCTTGGCCTCCTACTGTTCCACAAGAATGGATTAACCATCCACCACTTACTCCACTTACTCCACTTACTCCTCTTCCCAACAATACTCCACAGCCTGAAGCTGGTCCAAGTCAAACTGCTTGTGTCAATGATGAAGAAGAGGAACAAAAGACTCATTCTATGAGTACTTTTGAATTTCTCCTTGCTGCACAAGTTAAAGAATCTCTGGAACACTACAAAGACATCCTTAAACTCAATCTGGAATTACAAAAGAAATGGTTCAATGCTATGAAGGATGAGACTAAATCAATTGAGGAGAGAAATGTTTGGACACTTGTGGACCTGAAACTGGATTGCAAACCAGTCAAGTCTCAATGGGTTTTTGCTATTAAAAGCAATGGTTGGTATAAAGCTCATCTTGTGGCTAAAGGTTTTACACAAGAATTTGGAACTGATTTTGAAGATACCTTCTCCCCAGTCACTCATTTTGAGACAGTGCAAATTCTCTTATCATTCACTGCTCAATGAAATTGGGAAATGAGCACCCTAGGCATCAAGACTGCCTTTCTCTATGGCAATCTGGATGAAGAAATCTATATGGAACAACCAGAAGGTTTCAAAATTAAAGGTCAAGAGCACAAGGTCTATTGGTTGCTGCAAGCTCTTTATGGTTTAAAGCAAGCAGCATTAGCATGGAACAAGGCCCTACATGCTTCCCTACTTCACATGGGCTACACTCAATCTAAAGTGGATGCAGGGATTTATATTTTTAAATCCAATGCAGGCATCATCATTTTCCTCATCTATGTTGAAAATGGATTATTCTTGGGATCTAATCCCAAACTCCTATAAGCAAAGAAAGATGAGTTTATGAAGAAATGGGAATCTCATGACCTTGGAGATGTCAAAGAATACCTTGGTCTGCAGATCCACAGAAACTGCACTAAGTGCAAGATCTACCTGGATCAAATCCCTTACATCAAAGAGGTGATTAAAAGATTCCAAATGGGGAATGCACACAATGTTCACACTCCATTACCCTCTGGCTACCAACCAAAGAAACCAGAAGCTTCATATCAAGCTTCTTCCACACTTCAATCCCAGTATCAAAGCATTATTGGTTCTCTTCTATATATCACTCTGGGTACACACCCAGATATTGCCTTTGTGGTCATTTGCATGTCACAATACATGTCAAACCCAACAGAGGATCACAAGAATAAAGCACTCCATATAGTCAAATATGTCACTTCTACTCTGAAGCTTGCACTTTACTATTCTGGAACAGAAGCATGGATTTCTGGTTTTGCTGATTTGGACTGGGCTGCCAATGTGGATACTCATCATTCTACTACTGGCTATGCCATGTTCCTTGGCACATCCCTCATTTCTTGGCAATCTCACAAACAAAAGACAATTGCCTTGTCCTCCACTGAAGCTGAATATATGGCTTTATGTGACTCTGCCTGACAAATCAAGTGGCTACATATGCTTTTTAAAGAACTTGATCTTCAAACTGAGAAGACAATTTTATATTGTGACAACATGGGAGCTCATTTTATTGCTGAGAATCCTGTCTCAGATGGTCACTCCAAACACATAGATGTCCAGTGGCACTTCATTCATGAATGTGTTCAAGATGGACTCTTTGCAATAGAATATATCCAAATGGACTGACAAAAAGCCAATGGGTTAACCAAGTCTCTCATGTGGCAGAAATTTGAGACAAATCACTCATCACTTGGACTCATTACCTTGCCATTCTAGAGCAAGGGGGAGTGTTGGAAATACTGGTTATGGTGTTTCATATAGCCAGTTCTAGACTTGCTTACTAGATGAGTTTTACTCATATGATGTCATGCTTGCTAAGTACTCCACTTAGCTCCACTTTATTTCATAATGTTCCATGACATTCCATACTATACATAGTATGTACTTTCTCTTTATGGTCTTACTATATGTGCAACATGGTCTGTGTGCAGTCATACATGTATATAAACCCAGGGGATTCTGCCATATCCCCTCAGTGAATTCACATTCCTCTTTCCTGACAACAAGCCCTACTCTAGTCAGAACTACTTTACTCAATGTTTACTTCAATCACTCTATCCAATACTAAAGGCAAGTGCTCACCTCTGCTCTCACCCTTTCCCCTTCCTCTGCCAATACCTTGGTCTTAGCTCATGCACTAGACCCTTGTGCAGGCTGGGTTGAAGTCAGAGTAAGCTGATGGGGGGTCAGGAGTGAAAGCCAAGAGTTGACTTGAGCTTAAGCTAGGAGCTTGGGGGGTGAACTAGGTTGATATTCAGACTGAGGAGCTAAGTACAATCTACATAGAGTATATATACCAAAGACCAGCAACCTAAAGGCTGGGGTCACTGGTGAGGGACTAAATAGCAGTGTGAGGAACTGACTAAAAGTTAAACAAGGAGGCAGGGATGAGAGAGCCAAAGGCAGACACTGCCTTGGCACAAGCAAGGGCAGTACAAAGACTAACTAGAAAAGTATAGTGAGGAACAGAGTAAGTTTTTGGTGTTTGGCATTGGTTTGGCATTCAGAACATGAGACTGAGTTGTGGGTTTCTCAGTATATGACAGTATCCTCCCCTTAGGGTCAAGCCCCCGAGACCTGCCCTAAGGTACACAAGGTCAGCAGTTGCCATGCTGGTAGAACACATATTCCCTGGGGTTAAAAAGGTGTGTCTTTGTGAAGACTTGTTTTCTCCCAACCCCATCATCATGTCTTCTACTCATCAGGCTTCCCTGTGTGTACCCAATGACCCATCTGGCATTCAGAAGGCCACCATGCCTGAACTCCAGATCACCAGCAACAATGAGGAGGCTGACATCCAGGCAAAGATGGCTGAGTGCAAGTGGTGCAAGGTGTTGAGGGAAGAGCCTGCCTGGCTGGAGTCAGAGAGGCTCAAGAGGGAGCATCTGGAAGCAGAGCAACACAAAAAGGAGTGAGTGGAGGCTGAGCAGTGTGAGAGGGAGTGGGTAGAGGCTGAGAGGCAGGAGCAGGAGCATCTGGAGGTTGAATGCTGAGAACAGGAGGCCCAGGTGCAGCCAAAAACAGGGGAGCTGAAGGGCAAGGTGTGGGACAAGGGCACTGGTACTGCAGGTGCCAGGTTGTGCAAACAGTGTGAAAAGGGGCAGGTGCCATGCACCTTCAGTTGTGTGCAACAGAGTAAGTGCAAGAAGAGGACATGTGACTGGTGCACTGAGATGAAGGTCAGGTGTGAGCTGCCTGAGGGGGTAGAGCCTGAGGTTGAGGAGGCTGGGGCAAAGTCTGGGAAGAAGCAAGTGCTGGAGGATGCTACATCACTGAGGGCTGGGGAGAAGAGGAAAGTCATTCAAACCAGGTCTGGGGTGCCCAGTGAGTCAGAAGCTGGCTCCTCAGGAGCAGTAGTGCCTGCTACCATCTCCTCTGACCCTCTGGTTGTGGTGGTGACCAAGGGTTTTGAGCTGATTGCAGCTGCCATTCAGACCACAGAGATGTGAGCTGGGAGGGAGACCCAGCACCAATTCAACAGTCAGCTGGGTGATTTACTGGGTGAGCTTGAGTTTGTTCTTTGCCCAACCCCCCCAGCATCCAAATCCAGTGAAGAGCTGCACTTGGACATGGCAGACCTGGAGCTCAAGAGCCTCCAGTCAGATTGCAAAGGAGCAGGGGTGGAGTTGGACAAGAGGATCATGCACTGGCCCAAGGACATGTGCGTGAACATGAAGGGTCAGTGGTCTAGGTCAGAGAGTGGGGAGGAAAGAGAACTCTGGACAAGTGAGGGAGAGGTGTTTGAGGGGGACTCTGGGTGAGTGCACTGGTCTGAGCTGAATGCTGATGTAAATACTGTACACATATTTTCAATGCATCAACCATCTTTGTATAATAAGGAAAGTAAGAACAAGAAGAAGAAAAGAAGGGTAGAGGAATGTTTAGCTAGTGACTGGTCTGGGTTTACCAGGATAACTGGCATGGAAAGTGGTGAGTAGATCTTTGGCATTGCCCAGCTCAGTGGCCAGTAGCCAGGATGTTTCTTCATTGGTACCCTCATAGCCCAGTGTACCAGGTACTGTAGCTTACACCTCCATCACCAGTCTATCTTTAAGTTGAGGATCTTGGTGATCTTGTACTATGGTTCACTGTCCACCTTGACCAGAGGTGGTGGTGGCTGGGTTTGGTTTGGGATGGTATTGGGGTGTGCTGGTTCTAACTGTGACATGTGGAACACTTGGTGTACCATGCACATGGAGTCTGGGAGGCAAAGGGTGAATGAGTGAGTGCCAGGCTTGGCTATTACTGAGTAGGGGCCTAGGTTCTTGTCTGTGAGTTTCTGTGATGGTCTTGTGGTCCGGAAGTACTTGGCTTTGACATAGACCTGGTCACTGAGGTTGATCTTGGGTGCCAGTAGCCTTTTCACATCTGCTGGACCTTGGTATCTAGCTTGGGCCAGTGCCATCTCTTCTCATAGGAACTGGTGTAGTTCATCTAGGTCCACAGTGTAGTCCCTAGCCCATGCTGAGGATAAGTCCCTCTTGGGGAAGACTGAGAGGTTAGGGTGGTAACCCTTGTTGGCAAAGAAAGGGGAAACACTGGTGGTGGCACTCAGGGCATTGTTATAGGCAAACTTGGCCAATGGAAGCAACTTGGCCCAGTTGTTCTGTTGGTAGTTGCAATACACCTGGAGGTACTGTTCCAAGGTCTGGTTTGCTCATTTGGTCTGGCCATCTCCTTCTGGGTGGTATCCCAAAGTGAAGTGTAGGCACATATCCAGCACTTTACCCAAAGACCAGAAGAAATGTGAGACAAATTCAGAGCCTCAGTCAGAGGTTACATGTGCCAGAACACTGTGCTTTGAGAAGACATGGAGTAGGAAGAGTTTAGTGAGTTTGGGGGAGGTGATAGTGTTGTGGGTGGGTATGAATATAGCCTGCCTGGATAGTTGGTCTATGACCACCAGGATAGCAGTGTGACCACTGGATGCTGGTAGGTGCTCAATGAAATCCATAGAGATGGAATTCCATGGCTTTTCCAGTATTGGCAGTTGTTTCAGGGTGCCATACAGTCAGTGTCTGGGTGTTTTGGCTCTCACACTGTCACACACCAAAGGTGTTTGGTGAGGTGGACATGGATGCAGCTGATGAATGGAGATGAAGACCATAGCCCTCATGTGAAGAAGGACAGCCAGAAATGTTGGTAGTCATCCCTTGCACAAGAATGAGTTGTCAGTGCTGAAGAAAAAGGAAGGAAGTAAGTTAAGCACTGATAAAAGTTCTTAAGCACCCATGTATGGCATTCCAGTTTTCAACATATCTCCACCAATTCTGCAGATACTGACACTGTTCCCACACTTGCTTGTAGTGCTCAGCCACATGATCCTACCATCCAAAATTTGAAAGGATTTGCACACTCCACACATTTCTACAGCACTCCCTCCAAAAGATGCTCATTTCACTAATTCTTCTGATATGGCTGCCTCCACATCAATCATTTTGCTTGTCCCCTTTGCTAGGGACCATGGCTACATATATCTGCCAGGAGTTCCTACCAGCTTCCATCCTGAAGTGTCCTGGTACATCCCATCCTTGTCTGCCCCTTCTCAGCCCATCCAGCTTGGACAGCATGTTCTTTTTGTCAGTATGACCTCTAGGAGGATGTTCTTTGGTTGCCTCAGGTCTGTCACTCACTTAGAAAGGTCTTATGTGGTCATTTCAGTCTCTCCAGTCCAAGAAGTATATGGATAGCAATACATGCTGAGATACACCCTATTCTTTCCAGAAAGTGCACTGCAATGCTTTTGTCCCTGACTGGTGAAATAGTGAAAGGTGACCTTTTGATGGGATTGAGGGCATGAAAGATGGGAAAATATGATTACATAACAAAACACATGATCTTCCAGATGATTTGTCAGCATGTAAATGATGACAAACATTGGACTTGTACCATTAACCCTCCCTCTTTTACCGCAACTCATGAAATCATCTCTCTAGCTCACATGGTCATTTTCTCAAGGAATTCTTATCAAATACTGGTGGCCACCACAGTGCCATCAGTATAACATGCTCTCAGAACCATCAGTCCTTTAAAAAACCTGCTGTCAGTCATTCCCTGGACTGTTTCCCCCCCATGCCTGATGTGTTCTGGGACTAATCAGAACTTGGAAGGCTGAGAATGTTTTGGAGGTCAATCTGGCACTTCAGAACATGATGGACAAACCAGTCCCCTCTCAACCAATGCATTTCTGGCACAGGGACAGTGGTATGGAAGTTAGGGCAAGACAAAATCCCCTTTACCCCTGGGTGTCATCATAAGGATATGCTACTGAACTACCATGGAGCTGAATCCTGTGCTTCTATCTGGACCTGAATATTGCCTTTGGTCACATATGACCAATTAATCCTTCCCCAGTCATCTACAGTTCAGATCAGAGCAAGATCTAGTGAACCCTCTTATGGTGCTCAGAGCACAAGGAGGTTTTGTGCCTGAGCTACATCAGCAGCAAGTCACACCTCACAAACATTGCAACACTTTTGTCCCTCACTGTATGTGAGATGTGTGGTGTAGACAAAGTGAAAAAGAAAACTCATAGTGACCTTCCAAGTGCCAAAAGGTATCATTCCATACCTAAGTACAGGGCTTTATAGTCTGGGCAAACCTGGAACCTAAGTAGGACAAAGCACAAGGAAGGGAAAGCCACATGACAGTGCATACATACAAGGCAGGCTGGAACAGAGGCCAAGGATATACTACAAGCACAAAGGGAACAGAGACCATGGTAAAAGAAAGAGTCTGAAGGAAAGGAAGTGACTGGAGCACAGCAGCCACAGGAATAGCATTGCACAAGAGGGATTGAGGGCATGGGAAGGTAGTGCATGATCAATGGTGGATGCAAGAGGTCTGGGAACATAATGATAGTTGCAGGATGGTCAATAATAGGGGCTTATGCATCTGAGGAATGCAGATTCCTTACAGTGGCTCACTGAATATTCTATTGCATTGATGGAGTGTGCTAACAGATGCTATCAGCATATTCTCAGTGTCCAGTAACTGAGGAGGTCATTTTACTGTGTGAATGCAGATTTTGAGGCCTGTTTGATGAGTGGCAGTGTCAGCAAGTGGCTCTATAGCCTTCACAGCTGTGGCAACATCCCCCTCAGCATCCATGACAGCCATGAGAGCTGGCCACCAATCCATGTCAACATAGTGGCATCCAAGATGAGCTGCCAAATGAGTCTCTGCATCAGGCAGGCTCATTTCTGTTGTGGCAAATTACTGAATAATTTGCCATCCAACAGGATCAGCATGAGGTGGGTGTGCACTTGGTTGCAACAAAGGTGCATTTGTGCTGTCCCTAATATCAAAGTAAATGAATGTTTGCAACCTCCTCAAGTCATCAGTCTGATCACTCACAGCTGAATTTGTGTGTGGTCCCAGAAATGCTTGATGGTATCTTGTGAGATGGAATCCCATGCAGACTTGGCCATTAGCATTGCCTCCAGGAGATCAATCTTGTAAATCTCCTGTGAGCCCACTTCATCACACTCAACAGCATGCACACAGAAATTGCAGTGGTAAATGGCTTTGAAGCAGCATATAATTCCAGCATCACAAGGTTGTACAAATGGTGTTAGATTTGGCTTGAATGGGACAATATTGATAATTCTTGGCTTGTAGCTGATATTATGGCCAGGGAAATTGTCAATAGTTACACAAACATACAGTGGCTCACAAAATTGTCCCAATGTTTGCATATTTTTCATTAATCATAGGGTAGCAAGTGAACTATCACCATTGAGTCCAAGGTGTTGGTGGATGGTGACAGATATATCTATATGAAATAATCTCAGTCACATGTGAATAGTGACAATGTCTGAGGTGACAAAGGTATAGTATGAAGCTATATATCTAAGTGTAACAATACTGAGATGCTCAGGTGTTGAACCCAGAGTTTTACATGACAAGGGTGGTCTCATTGTGAGACATGTTACATTCTTTGTAAGTGATGAGAAACATGTACATAAGTGTGAGACACAAAGAGTACAATAAGCACAAGGGCACAAAAGTTAATTGCATGGTCAACAGTAATGTAAAGTATGAAAGCCTTAAAATGGAAAGTAATTCTCACATCTCAGAGCAGACATGTTCAGAAAGGACTACATACAACTTGCCAAATCTAACACTCCCCCTCAAGTTGGACATAGACTGAGCTTGATGGTGAAATGCTTCACTTTGGGCAACAACAAGGCTTTTGTCAAGGTATTGGCAATCATGTCAGCAGTTGGGCAATAGCTCAGACAGATCTTGCCATTTTCAATGACCCAGTGGATAAAATAAAAATGTATGTTGATATGTTTGGTGTGTGCATGGTACTGATGGTCTTTCATGAGTGCAATGGCAGATTGATTATTGGAGAATAATTTGGTCAGCTCGACAAGTGGCCCAAATAACTCTCTGATGAGTGACCAAAGCCACAAGGCTTCCTTGGCCACATGGGTGGCTGCCA